ATGACTGGGGTCCAATCAGCCATGAGTACGGCATTCCATCCGCAAACCGATGGTGAGACAGAACGAGTAAACCAAGAGCTGGAGATCTACCTCCGCTGCTTCACTGCCAATGATCCGGATAAGTGGGCTGACCATCTTCACACTGCGCAATTTGCTCACAACTCCCGTGAGCATTCCACGATGAAGACATCCCCATTCAAACTCATGATGGGATACGAACCTCGCGGAATACCCACCACGCACCCCGGATCAAACACGCCGCAAGCGGCTTATCGCCTCAAGGACTTGCAAAACATCCGTGAGAAAGCACATGCGGCAATGGAGATGGCCCAGAACGTCCTGGCCAAGAGAGTAAAAAGGAAGGGGGGTTCCTTCCGTAAAGGTCAGCTGGTATGGCTAGACTCCCGGAACTTGAAGCTGCCGTACTCGTCCAGGAAACTAGCCCCGAGGCGAGAAGGGCCGTTCAAAGTCCTAGACAAGATTGGAACGGTCGCATACAAGCTAGACCTCCCTAGCACCTGGCGAGTCCACCCCGTTTTCCACGAATGGCTTCTATCTTCCTACTCTGAGACGGAGATCCATGGTCCGAACTACACGAGGCCACCTCCTGACCTTATCGAGGGCGAAGATAACTACGAAGTCAAAGCCATCATCGGACACCGAGAGAACAAGAGGATGCGACGCTGGGAATATCGCGTCAGGTGGAAGGGTTACTCAACAGCCGATGACTCATGGGAGCCCGAAGCGAACCTGGCTGGGATGGCGGACGAAGTGTTGGCAGAGTATAAGAACAGGAAGGACTTGAGCTGAATCGATAGCAGCTCTACCTAGTCGCTACTTCCCCACTCGCACCGACATGTCTTCCACCCTCTCGTTCCTCGACCAGTTCAACGCCCCCTCGACCGAAGGTGGGAAAAGAATCTCAATCTACACCCCTAAGCACACCCACGTCGGCGACAGCACCTTGCTGACGTTCCTTCTCAGTAATCCCACCGACGTTTTCAACAAGCTCAAAGCCCACAACCCCAAGGCAACCAATGCCACCGACCGCACTGCACTAGAGACGTATCTCTCTGCCCGCCGCGACTACGACGAGGCTGTCAAGGCAGCCGACGAGGCCATCGACCACCACAAATGGCTCCTACACCAACAGGACGACCGCGTCCTCACCGAGCTCATCCGGCTTGACAATCTGAAGGTTGCCCATCGCTTTCAACCACTCCTACCACGCAGCATCCGGGCACGACACAACAAATTCATCCCGCGCGCCATCCCCAACGCGTACTTACCCCTACCTGCACCCCTACCGATGTCTGCCTTCAGGCAGCCCCCGATCCCATCCCCTTTCCTCCAAGCAACGCCACGGAGCACTACTATCCCGGCCGACTGGCAACCCAACCCTGGGTGGGCCCCGAAGGGAAGCTGCAGGCGATGCGGATCGTCTCGACACTGGGTATGGGACTGTCCGGACGTACGATGCGCAGGATGCGGAAAAGAAGCCCCTGGACACCTGGAGCGAGAGTGCGGAACCAGGCCGATGAAGCGACATGTATCAGCACCACCTGAAGAACCTGCGCGACGCGTGGGGGTGGTCGTCGACAACGTGTTCCTCGAGGAAATCATCAACGAGGCGAAGGAGAGGAAGGAGAAAGAAAGGCAGATGAAAGCGGTACCTATTCCTCCACCGCGCAGCGCTAACCCCAAACCCCCAACCAGTCCCATCGTGGGACCCTCGCGCCCCCGCCCCGATACACCCGTCGTCTTTCGCAAAGTCGACCCCGACTGGACACCCGACACCACTCAATGGACGTGGGACAGCTCCTGGCCGCATCAGAAGCACCTCTCTGGCGAGGAATGGAAGAACGTAGGGAGGAACGCGCGCAAGGAGTGGTTCGACGAAGAGGAGGACGACGGCGTAGACTGGGAGTTGTATGGAGATGGTGAGCAGTAAGTAGTCGAATGGGACTTCGACTCTGGCAGGGGGGTAATGAAACATTTGTCTTTCCGTTCTATTCCTTGTACTACTAGCGCCCATACTGGTGCCTGTCTTAGCGCTCACCCGCAGGTTGAACATTATGTAGCTTACATAATGGGGTCCGTGCGCACTTTGTACTCGGCATCGTACCACTACGTTTCTTTCTTCACTAACACGACCACATAGACACGATGGTCCGTGCGCAGTCAGTACTTGTATAAGTAGTTGTACCATTAGTTGGTCGAACCCTAAGTTCGACCTAGTTATTCATTCAAGTCTCTGCTCCTCCTTGCTTGGGGTAGTGGTCATTCTCGACTTCCTCGCTCAATCTTCAGGACGACGTACTGTCCATAAGCCCTCGCTTGTCATCTACGAGTCAGGCATCAATATAGGAGTATAGACCGTTGTATCAAAATCAAGGTTGCACACCGGTCCACACAATTAGAAACAGCCCTCCCTTGCCATGGATTGTTTCGAACATCCAACCACTGTCTTTGGGGCCTAAACAGAGCCTATGAAAAATGCATCCAGCAAGTTATATCATGTTTCCTTAGCTAGCCTTAGCTAGCCAGCCTCAGTGAACTTTGAGCTTAATGCGCGCTCGAAATGCACTCGAAGTGGTGATTATGTCATACAAGCACCCCTGAAGGGTCTGCTAGCGTACACTCGAAGCAATAATACATTTATTCTATTTCTCAATGAATACCCAATAAAATGTCAAACCACGGTGAGGCTACACAAGGGTAACTTCGGCGGGCACCCCACTTAGACTTCTATAAATGGGTCTTAGACCTGACTAATTGGCGATGGTCACCGGTTCTCACGCACATTGACCACCCGAGAGGACACCCGAGCGAGATGGAACATGTGGTACGGGATGCAAAGGACTACATGTAGTATTTTTAATATGTAGGGATTATTTGGAGGCTTTGAATGGTCCAACAGGCATAATATTTAATGAAGGGGGCAAGCTGTTCTTAAATGTGTGGACAGGAGTGCACTCTACTCATGACAGGATTGTGTGGCAGGCAGGACAGGATCTCCGGCAGCTAGGGACCGGATCACTGACCGGGGCGGACCAAAACGAGTGCCAGGGCAGGCATTAGGGTGGTTTGGCCCGGGCAGGAAGCTTATCTGATTTGACTGATTTGCGATCCCAAATGACATTATCTACTCACGCAAGTCACTTTTGACCAACATCACGTGCCCGCCATTACAAAATCGTGACAAAAGCACAAATTATGTTTGCAAATCTAAAGGATATTATTTGAGGCAAACAATAAGAAATAGGAGAACAGGAAAATTTGCGGAGGACATTGTTGCACAAAACCCTGTTTCTCGATTTGTGATCAAGTGTGAGGAGCAATTGAAGATAGATTTGCAGTGTACCGGAGGAAAGAAGCGCGCTCTATTCGGCAACGCCCTCGATAGACGGATGCAGCTCTCGTGCAGCGCTCCCGAAGGTTAAGTCCTTGGTCACAAGAAGTCACAAGCACGTGATGTTGGTCGAAAGTGACTTAGCCCTACCTTAGATGGCTAGATGATACTTACGGTGAAATCTTGCTAGCATGTTATGAGCCGGTTGATTAAACTTCAAGTTATCATGAAAGACCTCTCATCAATAGGTTACTTACGTTATCAGGACGGGTTGTGTGACTTCGCGCTGTAAGACACGACCAAAAGAGTAACTCAGCGCTCGAGCAGAGAATGCGAGCGCTGAGGCGTAGCAGCGCAAAGGTCCCGTCTATGCCAACAACGGCTTACGTAATGCCACGATCGGCAGCGGTAAGTAACTACTAATGTCCTACTGAATTAGTCCGTACCAACGTACGACTTCCAATATGAACTTCCTCATCCCGCCTTTCCTTGTCCTCCTCACATTCCTCCAGCTTACTGGAACGACGCGCGCATCTGCCTTGACGACAGCCATTGGCGCAAATGAGCGACTATGTTTCTTCGCTGACGTGGACAAGGCCGGCGAGAAGATCGGGGTGAGTGCGTTACAGCCATTTCGTGTTCCATAATCTCAACTCGCATCTGCAGTTCTACTTTGCTGTACGTATGCACACATCCTCCGCGTGTCCGGCTGCCCAACGCCCGCACAGGTCCAAGCCGGCGGCTCGTTCGACATCGACTTTGACGTCAAAGACCCAGCCGAGAAGGTCATCCTGGATGGCGTCCGGGAACGGCAGGGCGACTACGTGCTGACGGCGAACACCATCGGCGAATATGCGTTCTGCTTTGAGAACGACATGTCCACGCTCACGGAGAAGCTCATCGACTTTGACATCATGGTCGAGAGCGAGCCGCGAAGGGAGCCGCCAGCGAAGCCTGGCCAGATCTCGGAGCACACGAGTGCGCTGGAGGAGAGCATATTCCGGCTGAACGGGATGCTGCAGAACATCAAGCGGACGCAGAAATAGTACGCAGACCCGTGTCTCGGCGTCAGCGCCACGCACGACTGACTGCGCGCACCAGTTTCCACACGCGCGAAAACCGAGGATTTGACATCGTCAAGTCGACACAAAAGTATGTTCCATGGCGCGCATCCTCATCTCACATCATGTTGACCACTCGCGCTATCCCCAGCCGCCTATTCTGGTATGCCGTGTTCGAGTGTGCTGGTGTGATCGGGATGGCATTGTAAGTCGCAGCCGTCCGGTCGAGAGGTTCCGCTCCTGTTGACACGCGTACCAGCTTGCAGGTGTACATTCTGCAGACATTCTTCACGAAGACGGGGCGGAGGTACAAGGTCTGAGGGGTTCATGTACCACTGCAGGGGGTCTGGATGTATATATTGGCTTTGCTCATTGTGGGACAGCACTACAGCACGGCTTGAGAATGACAAGGTGCGTTATGATCCGCAATTTGGGCTGGTATAGACTATATTTCAGGGCGATTGAAAGACACTGAAGGTGAAATGAAGTGACAGCCTGCCGGCTTTTCTTCAGGCGTTCTGTAAACGTGCGGCATCGAAAGAGATACGTTGTGTTTCCTAGACATCAGACATCAGATCCGGTATATGTATATCCGCCGTGGGTGCTTGAGTATACTAGCCTGATCCTTTCAGCGAGGCATGGCTGATGGACATTTCAGGTGAAGTAGGTGTGACACTCGCCACTGTCAACGTAGTATGTTCATACCCCATGCTTGATCATGGCACGGCGCGGCAGTGCAGATCTGCAGCGTCTGCTGAATAGACAAGGTTTGCAGAACTACTGCAATGCGAAGCTCCAAACGTGGCATCTCTCTATCACTGGATGTCCTTCGTGTATTGTCCCCACTTTCATTCCGAGCACTCCTCCGTGTACCTACAACGATCCTTGTGGTGGTTCAAGCAGAGCAAAGCAAACAGTGCATAGGTTTGCCGAACCCCGTATTCGATAGTATGCGGCACTGATACAAATGGTGTTTCGAAACATTCACAGCTATTTAGATCTGCAATCTTACTCTCCCGTTCTCGCTGCGGCGACGTCACGTCCTGATCTTCATGTGCACGGATTTCGCTCTCGTGAGTTGATCATAGCCTGCGCAGAGATCAGCAGTGCATCGGGAAGTAGCGCATGCTGGGACCTACCGAACTTGCTCAAACTGACTCCGCGTCCGCTGTCCTTGACTCCTGTCCAGGCGAGTGCAGGGTCAAGGTAGTCGCATCTAGCACACGTGTACGGATGAAACAGTCAGCAAGGCTCGCAGCTGCCGAACGCCCAATGCAGACCTGTTCAAGAAGACGGTGCCAGTAGACAGCTCGTCGGCGATCGTCAGGAATGCAGCTTCCGACTGCGCGTTGGCTTGTGCGTTGGTCCAGACGGAGGCCGTCAAGCCATACGGCGAGTCGTTCATGAGCCGGATCGCTTCCTCGTCAGATGAGACCTGGTCGGATGCGCCGTTCGCTCAGCCCTCATGACTCTTGCGAGGTATCGACGTACCTTCATGATCCCGACCACGGGCCCGAACGTCTCTTCCTACGTGTGCGTCAGAACAGCGACCAAGAACGTAGACCACGAGTAGTGGCGCACCATCATGACGTCCATGGCTGCAAGCACAGTGAGCAGCGGGAGGCGAACTATGCACGAATCGGCTACTTACTGTGGTCGACATCGATCAAGACCTGCGGTGCGACGTATGCTGTGCCGCTTGTTGTGACTCAGAACGCTGCACACGAAGGAAGACGAAGAGCGGGGACGTACGCCTGGGCGACGGAAAAGAGACTCTCGGGGATCAGGGCCTTCGCGCCCGCTTTGACTTGGGTAGAGGTCAGCCAACACGCCGGGCTGCGCGCACAAATGACGCACTGGCATCTGCGACTTGTCTGCGAATCCTCTCTGCGCTTGCGACGCTGACCACGGGTCCGAGGTTGGTGCCGGGTTGCGTCGGGTCGCCCAGTTTGTATTGCTGCGAGATGGGTCAACCCGAGCCCAGGCGGACGTGTAGAGGCGGTCCCACCTTGACCAGCTCGACGAACTTCGCGACGAACGGGTCGAACAATGACTCGTGGACATAGATCCGCTGCAAATGCCAGTGTCAAGAAATCACTGAACGCACAGCGTGGTCATGCGCGCACCTCAATGGCGCAGCAGCTCTGCCCGGAGTTGAACATCGCACCTATCTTCCGGTCAGTCTCCTGTAGACTCGGTGCAGTCAAGGATTCCGACTTACCATCGACCAGCTCTGCGACTGTGTACTCGAGGTCGGCATCAGCACGAACATAAGCCGGGTCTTTCCCTCCGAGCTGATGTTTGATGGTTGAGCATGGTCATATCACCCAGACGGACCACTCACCTCCAGAGCGACGCCCTTGAAATCTTTCGCACTCGCCGCCGCTTGGTCGACTGCGCGTCCTCCAGGAACACTGCCCGTGAACGACACGAACGCGACGGAGGGGTGCTGGACTGCAAATGACGTCAGCGACGGCGAGAGGTGGATGACCTGCAGGAGGTCCTGAGGGAGGCCGGCGCGCGTCCACGCGAGGGAGAAACGCTCTGCCGTGAGGGGCGTCTGGGGAGATGGTTTGAGGATGACGGCGTTCCCGGCAATGAGCGCAGGGAGCACGGAGTTGATTGAGGTGAGGTACGGGTAGCTAGCGTATATGTCAGATGTCAGCGACGGGCGAGCCGAGGCGGCGGGCAATGTTGTGTGCGCACTTCCACGGTGCAATGACAAGGACGACGCCGAGAGGCGTGCGCTGGATGAATCGCCGGAAGCCGGGCTTGTCTGTGTCCTCCAGGGAGACGTCGGTGAGGCAGGATTCTGCAATGGAAAGCATGTACTCTGCACGCTCGAGGGTCCCCCGTACTTCTCCTGCCCCCTGCGAGACTGGTCTGCCGGCAGCTTATCTTAAATATGGTTTGCAAAGAAGGCACCTGGAGCTGGACTCACCGGCCCATCTGCAGAGTCAACTCCGTCGGAATCTCGGTTATCATGTTGCGAAACTCATCCTGGCCGTACCCTCAGCATTCGTGTAGCACGACTGCTGAAGCACACCCACCATGAACCTCTTGCCAACAGCGATCCTCTCCTGCAGCGGCGCACGGGCCCATACTTTCTGGGCTGCCGCGGAGCGTTGAATGGCGACGCTCAACTCATCCTGCGAAGGGTATGAGCGAGTAACAAGGGGCTGCTGGTTGTGGGGACTGATAGTCGTTTGGCTCGTTGGTTCAGACATGGTGAGCACAACTGGAGGCGTTTGGCGGGCAAGGACAAGCAAGTAACATGGTATATCAATTGACCGCCGTCAAGATGACCCTAATATTGCTACCGTCGATCGATCGGCTTGTTATGAACAAGCGAGGTCTACGCACTACTTATTACTGGTAGGGGGACCTCGAGCCAACCTGCTCAACGAGTATATCCAAAGACTGCACATGGAAGAATATTGAGATGGGTCCGACAGCGACAGGAATGTCAGGATTCTTGCCTGGGTCCTAACCACCATGAAGAACTGCCTTGCAAGAGCGTACGGGAGCTTAGTACGGGAGGCATCACAATCACGATAATCCAGAGCCCATAAATAGTGGTACTTCGTTTGCATGAGGTAAATTCTATTATGCCCAAGTTGTACACTGTTCAAGGATTATATGTCGCTCACAGGCTGCTTGCCGGTTCGATACCGGCGTCGAACTTGAATGTGGGGTTGATGTCATCTCTCCTCAGTTCTGTAATGTGCATCACTGCTCTCGGACACTCCCAAATCTTCTCCAGCTTGGCTGCCGACCATTGCCAATGTATCCTGGAGTACACAGGGTGAGAGGAAAATGAAATGGGCTAGAGACGCTCAGGCATCCCGAGGCGACTGGCGCTACATCTGACAGATGGTGGTACGGGAGGGTACGTCTGCAAGAAGCTGCGTAACTTGAAGTTTCTCCGACCGTCTTGAACTTGCTAGAAACGTTTCACCGTGGGTCCCATCTAGTGGTATCTCGTTGAACATCAAGCTAACGATAAGATATCTCAATGTAGTCCAAAGCCATGACCAGTCATGCCACAAACCTTCAGGTCGAGCAAGTTGACAAAGTGCGGAAGCCAGCCCCGATAGACGAGCTTTCGATAGACGTCTTTCTCGACATCGTGCACCTCGTGGTAGACAATAAACCCAGAGATGTTACATGGGTTCGCTTGATGATGGTCTGTCGCTCGTGGCGAGCTGCGCTGCGCGACGATCCAGGACTTTGGTCTCACATCGACGTCGCAAGGAATGCTCATTTCGTCGATCTCTGTCTACAGCGATCGCATGACCGCCCAGTGCATTTCTGCAATAGTAAATGGAGAGCGGCGGGGTTTGCACGCGTCCTGCCCGACAATCTACACCGCACCCGTAGCCTGGAAATCAGGGACCACAAAGACACTGAATTCAGACCCCTGCTAGAGATACTCTCGAGTTCCTGTGGACCACAATTGGAGACTCTCGAATTGCTGCTTCAAAGCTACAAGGGACCATGCTTATCCTGCACCATCCTTCCTACCAACTACCCACTTCTTCGGTCACTCAGCCTACGTCGCGTGGCCATTACTTGGACTGGCCCCGTCCCGGCGGGCTTGACGAACCTTTCTTTGGATCTGACGCAGACTAATCCGAGCGACGCCTGTATGCCATCAGAAGGACAGCTACTAGACATCATCGAAGCGTCTCCCGGTCTCGAGACGTTGACCATACAAATCAGCGAGGGCCAGCTGCGTCCTATAGCTGTCCGAAGAAGCCCTATCCTACTCTCGCACCTGAAATCCTTCGTCCTGTCCGCACGGCAGGAGACCTGGATTTCATTGTTGTCACACCTGACTTTATCGGAAACAACGTACTTGCAGCTCACACCGTCTGGTCCTATGGCCATCATGGATCGCGATCATCCCGTGTCTTCCTTATTTCCTATCTGCTACCAGTCAGTCTTGCGCCAAGCGACTCGTGCAAAGACCTTGCGCCTGTGTGCAATGAGTTCATGCTTCTTCTTCAAAGTTCATGTCGATGTGGAACCAAATCCAGACAACGGGTTGGTCGCAATCGAGTACACGGATGTCGACCTTCCGCCAGCGCTCTTTGGTCCTGCACTAGTAGATGTTGCCGAATTGTTCTCTGCATCTCCAATCACGTCGATCGTGCTCTTGGGCCATGAGGGCGACGTGGGCGAGAAGGACTGGCGTCGAGTCTTCTGCGCTCTACCACATTTGGAGACGTTACTCCCTCGCGATTACGGCGGTCTCAAGTCATTATGGACAGTGCTTGGGTCCAGACAAGTTGACGGACAGTCCGTGTACTGTCCACACCTTCGAGTGGTCCGCCCTTATTCTACCACGCTCACGGACACGACAATAGCAGTCCATGTCGCCCAGTGCTTACGGTCCCGTGCGGCTTCTGGTCACAGTCTCAGTGTGCCCCTGCTGGAAGATATCGTCGGGGGAGCGAAGTACGATTAGAGCTGAAGTAGACGAGTTCTGTGACTGATAATCGAACCCACCGGAATTGTAAAGAAGTCAGTCGATGTTTTGCTTTTCTCCATGCATCCTGTGCTTCTGAGGGAACAGCATTTCAATGTGTATAGTGTCAAGACTTTGTGATTTGAGAATTAATAATCGCGCACGAGAGATTGGACTCACAGAAAGTTGAATCATAATGCGGGTGCTAGCATAGGACAGAGACATGTTACTGTATGTAGAAGACATCCACCCACCTAGCAACAAAGAACCTGAGGCCGTTACAGCGAAATCATGTTTGAAGAGCGTACGGAAGGTAGCATGGGAGGCACAATGATCACGATATTCCAGAACCCGTAACTAGTGGTACATCATTTACATGAGATAAGTTTCCCCCAGAACTGTACGCTGCCCATGGATTATCGGTAGGTCACAGGCTACTTGCCGGTTCCGAACCGGCTTCGAATGTGGGGCTGGTGTCATCTCTCCTCAGTTCTGTAACGTGGTTCATTCCCCGACACTCCCAAACCTTCTCCAGCCTTAGCCCTGCGGCCATTGCCAACGTGCTCAAGTGCTCCGGGGTGCGCTCACAAGCATTAAACAAAGTGAGCATCGCGAGGTCGCGGGTGCTTCCAACAAGCTGTGCGGATCCATAGTTCCGCAGAAGGGGAGGTGGAGCGTCCTTCAGGCAAGAAGAGCCGACGCTGGGATGTATAATAATATCAACAACGAGGATGCAGGAATCACGCCTCATAGCCTGGCGCAGATGACCGAGTATCGTGATACAGTCATCGTCGGGCCAGTCGTGCCTGGATCGGAGTCAGTAACGCAATGATCGAACACGTATACGAAGTGACTGACAGGATTTGCCTCAAGACATAAACATCTGCCTCCCGAACAGTTTGTTCCGTAAAAAAGTCATGCGCCATGAACTGGACACGCTCTTCTTCAAGGGCGACAGGGAAGTCTTTCTCCCAAGCTTCCCGTGCCTGCTGAATCATTTGGGGCCTGTCTTGCACTACGAATTGAAGTTTCGGGAACCGCATTGCAAGCTGCAAGCTCAGCCCACCTACAATATGACAATCACGTCATTTACCGCTCTAGATGGTGAAGCGACCACGATCATACCGATCCCACCGCCGACATCTACAATCACCCGCTTCCCCAAGTCCCCCCATGGGTAGTCTGCGGTAAATTTGTGTGTCAATATAGGATCATGAACAGGTGATATTCATCTGCCCACCAGCAAATATAGGGACACTTTCAAGTTGACCACTGGCCACCATGCCTTTAGCCCAAACATTAGGTGGTGTGAAAGGTAATGATGTCGTAGAGTCTTTTCCATGCTCCTCTGCGTACTCGACGTATTCGAAAAGTGGTTTGTCAGTTCCGTATGTAACATTGAAGGCCGAGTCGCGGATTGATGTGGAGAACGTCTTGCCGGGATCCAGCACAACATCCGGTAGATTTACAGCTGCGACATTTGCTTCGGTCGTTCTGTGAAGCCGGATGAGACTCGAGAGGAGACGCAAACATACAAGTGTAGAGAAACTCGCATTGAAATGAGCCAGCTTTGCATGTACTCGTCGTTAGCGATACGCATGCTTGTCGGGGTATTCGCGAAACGGTTATGTTGTACCTCAGCGAAGATATGGATACATGCGAGACATCGCAGAATTTGCACTACGAAAGTGAATATGTGAACTGTCCAGATTCGGGAAACGGACTATACGTACACAGCTTTTGCTCCCCTATGCCCACCTCTCGGCTTAGAACCGCAATATGTATTCCTTCGTTTTGATCGGCACTTGCCAAGAAGTCAGCTATTTTTGCACGCACAGCTATGTGCAAAGCTCGTGCGGGAAGGTAAGAGGAGGCCACCTCTGTCAGGCGCGTAGCTGAGTCCTGGACGAGGTCGATGTACATTCCGCATGCACCGAGGGCGACGCGACGCGCTTCATACAGCGCCGGCGAAGGAACGGAGGAATTCCAGACGCTGTCCTTTCCCGAGTCTGTGGCGGCGGAATCGGCCCTCCAATCTGCGATGATTGTCTCTGAGGCGTCCTGCAAGAGGCTGACCAGAGCGCGGAGCTTCTGGACTTTCTCTGCGACACTGGCCATCGGGACTGCTCAAGTTGTGGGGTCTGAAGGGCAGCTTAAGGATACCACCCATGGTATATGTACGCGCCGGTGGCCCATATAGTGGTCTGTGGCACCATGCTGGCATACTGCGCCTGACCCTGCAGGGACTGGACTCACGCCTGTCTAGGGACTGGACTCACGCCTGTCCAGGGACTGGACTCACGCCTGTCAAACCATATTGTTATCAGGAGTATTCCTTATGCTTGGGAAACAGCATCAGAGCTTTAACGATAAGAGAACTTCCAATATGTGCATCGAACATTGGCCAAGGAATGGTCATATACTTCTATGGCAAAATGCTTCGGCGTGACATGTATTGACGGGCAACGTAGGCAAGGTGGAGGAGAGCTGATGTCCATGAGTCTATGCACTGTAAGATGTTCACTAAGTGCGCACTTACTGTGTGTCGAAAGGAGATATTCTAGATTCAGCAGAGGACCGCTTGCGGCTTACTTCGGGTCGCCATGTCATGATTTTGTCGCTGATGCTGCAACAACGCTAACGTTGGTCAGCATACAGTTAAACCATACCATGTTCAGATATTGCATAGGTGAAGGGAGATTACTTAACAGAAGAAGAAAAAAAGAGTCGCGACGCCATCGATAGCCCACAGCTACCGGTGTCAATTGTTGAAATCAAAGCGGTGAAAGAGATATGGTAGAAACCCCACTGACGAGAGACCATGGTCACAATTGTCAACGTGTGGTTCCATTCCTACCGTCACCGTGGGGAAAGTTATGAATATGAACGCGCTAGCAATTAACGTGAAAGGATTTCATGAAGTATGACCGTATGGCACTTACACTTCCTTGAACACAAGTTGAGCGATACAGTTTAACGCGAGGTCAAATTTAGTCTCGGGAGACGGTGGTCATATAGACTTCGACAGTAACGTATGCGACCTTTGGGTCTTGACGGATGGTCCGAGGCATGCCACACTTCTCAGAAGAGATTTTACGGTATGTCCGGCTCAGTCAGCAGCCTCCAGTTTGCTTCTGCATATCATGAGTGCATGACTCATTGCAACTCAGATATGCTAGCGCGAACGGAGCTCCGCAAATTTTGGTATTCAGCGAAGCAGCCACTACGAAGCAGCCACGGAGTGTTTGACTGCCCAATGCCCTTCCCAGTTCCCGTTTAGTGTACGATCCTTGTTTTTGTTTCAGCTCCCATCATGTGCTGGCGAAAGCAGACATACAGTCATACACTGGCAATTGGTCGAAATATGCCCCACCATACCATCACTGGCATCCCATAAATGCACGTATTGCGAATTGGCAGTCCCTGCGTATGATGTACATTAGTGATGATTGCACGTGACCTAAAGCTTAATGTGAAGTCTTGAGAGCAGGAAGCCAAGTTCCCGTCCCATGGATGGGCCACAGTGATCTCGTGTCCGTCCTGAGTTTCTGCGCTTGTCAGGTGCATTGGCTCGCGGCTGTTGAGTAGTCGTTCTGCCTGGCGCCCTATGTTCGCTAAAGCGATCACACACAATCGAGAAGAACTGACCAAGATGTGCGCGACAATGTCATCCAAGCAAGTGACAAGATTTTGCCTTTGAAAGGTAGAGCCCTATACCGAAACCTTGTGTGCACATCATGTTGCAACAGTGCATTAGCGATACACAGGCTCATAGTTAACACGCACATCCGCAACAAGTCCGTGACGTAGATAGTCTGGGTATTTTACGGATAGGTGACGCGAAGCAAACGGAAAAGAACGGATAGACGGGAGAATGGATACATAGCAGTGATGTAGGATGTGGAATATGGGCGGATGGACCTCAGTGGTCGCGGGATTTCCTATTACAGGATTTATATGGAGTCCACCAATGGGGACAGGCGTCCTCACCTGTACTCGCCCTCAGCGGCGACACTGAGCTCCTCGATTTCGCCCTGGACGGTCGATAGAGACTCAGCGGCGGTCGCGTAGTAGATAAGCTATTGAGGAGGTATCAGCACCGGTCACGGGTGAGGGCACGCAATACAGAATCAAACCTGAGCCTTCACGAGTTCATTGAGGTTCTTCAATGGTTCGGGCTGGGTGTATGCGGATTAGGGCGTCTGTCCTTCCCGGAATGATAAATAACATACGTTGTCGAGGACAGCTTTCATGAGCGTTATCGCGACCTCCGTTTTCTGCACTAGATCGTCTTCGGCATTCTCAACCTCCAGCCGAGCTGCCTCTAGCCTTGCGGGACCAATTGTCTTCAACCTGCAGTATGTATATGCACTTAGGCACATTGCAGCATAGTTCAATAAGGCTACATACGCCTGCTTTGCAGCATCCAGCTCAAGCCGACTCACACGCACCGCCTGGCGGGCCTTCATCGCGACCGTGATGGACGTGTTGAGCGTTGTCTGCCATGGCTGCAAAAATTGTGCCTTGATGGCACCGTCCTGCTGCACACGCGCGTCTGCGATCTTCTCCCAAGCCCCTGCGTATGCGGTCAACGCCCTGCTTAGCTTCTCGTCGCCCGCACCAGCCGTGGGCTGCACTGTGGCTGCGGCGTTCGTTGCCGCACGTCCGATCGCGTGCGGAAGCGTCTTGTGTTGCGCCGCCTGAGGCACGGGGGCGGACGGTACAGGCACGCCGGTGCCCTTGAGGTTCGTCGCGGCAAAGTTAGTGATGCCCTGGCCGATGGTCGTGCCCAGCTCGGTGATCGACTCTTGGATCTGCGTGGGGTAGTCATATGTCTCGGTTTCGTAAACTTTCGTGACTCTGTGTGCGCCCACGTCAGATATGCACGCCTGTATTGTGGTTGCGGGACTCACTTCAAGAGCATCAGGTGAACCTGGCGGAGGTTGTCAACCCGCTCCTCCAGGTCCTTGTACTCTGATACGACAAGTAAGGTACCGAGATGCAGCGTGGACTGCTTGCTGGACTCACCTTGAGGAAGTTCGGTAATATCATCCGCAGCGACCTGTCCGAGGCGTTCGCGCGTCGCCTGCACGCTGGTGTTGAAGCCCTTCGCGAACTTGTTGGCCGACTGGCCAAGATTGAGCCCCGCAAAGCTCGATTGCAATTTCGTCCAGCCCTCCATAACTCTGAAAGTCGATAGTGTATGCAGAAGATGTTCGAGCAGGAGGCAGTGACGGCAAGCACGTCAATGCAGTGTGCAGTAGATGTCCGGGGTACTGCGCGCGCCAGTCAAGGTCCATGGGGTCTGCCTGCACGCGTCGAGACGCGTCACCGGACGCGCATTCAGCGACCAGTTACCCGCGTGCCTCTTGCTTTCTTTCTACAACTTGCTCTGCTCATTCTCGGGAGTCTCAACAACCATGGCGACGGCGTCGGTATACTCTGGTCCTGGTTTCGACTTCTCTAACGAACTCCGGTACGGACAGTGCCCGGCAGTTCTGTCCTGTCTGCTCACAGAGTGCTTGATAGCAATTCTTTCCTCACCGACCGGGGTATCCCGCTGCCCAAGGCCACGAGCACGGGTACAACCATCGTAGGATGTCTCTTCAAGGATGGTATTGTGCTGGGCGCAGATACACGTGCGACGGAGGGGCCCATCGTCGCCGACAAGAACTGCGAGAAAGTGCGCCTACTCTATTCCTTCTACTCAGCCATGTTACTGATTGCTCGCGCTCCAGATCCACTACATCACAGAGTCAATCCGCTGCTGCGGTGCAGGGACGGCCGCGGACACAGAATTCACAACCGCACTCATCTCGTCGAACATGGAGTTGCATGCCCTCTCGACCGGCCGGAAGCCGCGTGTGGTCACCGCGATGACTATGCTCAAACAAATGCTCTTCCAGTACGTATCCGCATCTCTTGATATTTCCCCATAGAGGTGCGAGCGTGTCACAGATACCAGGGAAACGTCGGCGCGGCGCTCGTCCTCGGCGGCGTCGACGTAACTGGCCCACATCTCTTCACCATCCACCCGCACGGCTCGACAGACAAGCTGCCTTATGTCACCATGGGCTCCGGCAGTCTCGCGGCCATGGCCATCTTTGAGAGCAAATGGCGGCCAAACATGGAGGTGCGTCTGAGCCCGATCCGTAGGCCCGCACGCGCGCACCCACATTAACCGTCGCATTGAACGCCATAGCGAAGCGAGGCGCTCGATCTTATTGCCCAAGCGATCTCCGCAGGTATCTTCAACGATCTTGGCTCAGGGTCCAACGTGGACGCGTGCGTGATCACGGCGACGCACACAGAGATGCTGCGTAACTTCGTCAAGCCGAACGAGCGTGTACAGAAGGAGCGCAAATACGGCTTCCGACGCGGCACGACGGCATGGAAGTCAGAGGAGATCCGCAACTTAGTGATCAACGAGGACATTATTGCACACACGGGCGACGCCATGGACACGAGTTAAATACTTCTGTACAATGAATGTATTGCTATTGGATGTTTCTCCTAGCGAGGTACGCGGGAACAACACGTTAGAGACATCGTAGATCTCCTCGACCAAGTGAATAAGATATTGCAAAGATGCAGTAAGATGCAGTATGAGAGTACTACAGATGCAGATGGGTTTCCATGCAGACTATGATGACAACAGTAGCATATATATACAAGAGGCGTATCTCCGTTAGGGGAAGATTAACGCTCTATGCGACGCCCGAGGAAGCAACGGGGGAGACGATAGCGACAAGAACGGAGATATCTGAAGAGCCGGTCAGCTCCGCGCAGTATAACGTGGTGGTCGGACTCACCGTCCGGCTTGCCGCCATGGAAGGACCTGCCCTCTTCTCGTGCGCGTCGCGCAAATGGGATCTCCTCTGCCTCAAGCGTTGGCGCGCCTTTGCGCGCCTTATGTTCAGCCACGCAGTGGGCGCGCGAGCATAACGCCTCGCTAAGCATCGCCGCGAGCGTGCTTTGGCAGAACACACCCTGCGCAGCCATGCCGCCCTGTGCGAGGTAGGGCTGCCGGAAACGCACAACCTCGTCGAGGACGTCTTCGTCCCAGAGGTTATCGCTCAACCCGTCGCTCGCGAGGATGAGTATGTCGTCTGCCTCGACAGGGATGGTGAAAACGTGCGCGTCGCGCGGGCGTGTGGGTGACGTGGGTCCGAGTTGGACAGGGGTGTTGAACTGTACGCGGCTATAAGCGGATAGGCAAGTTAGGAAGAGAACCATAACTCACGTTCCACCACATCTCCTCAGTTCTCCAGACAATCTCTTCGCCGCGGATGAGCATGCCCATGCAGTCCCCGAGGTGTGCAATTTTGATGACGGCGCCGCGATCAGCCATTTGTACGGCATCATCGACATGTCGCGGCTGCGGTGAAAACAGCGTTGATTTCCGGCGCGGCGGTGGAGGTGCAGACGTGTGTTCCAGTATAGCGACCAGGGCTGTTGACGAGCCTGCCAGTAGTGGCGTGGTGGCTGGCGCCTGCTTTGGGGTTGGGGAGAGAATCGACGCCCATGAGGCAGACGGTGTGTCAGCCTTAGACTGAGTATTTGCAGCGCCATTGGATGTATGCAGTCCATTTGAGGTCGTGTGAAGACTAGTGTCGGTTATGGGCTCCGAAGAAGCCACCTCTGGTCTAGTGACATGAGCTTGAATGGTCTTCTCATACGCCCTCTCTAAAATCATGAGGACGTCCAGGCCCTCCTCGAGCTCCTCTAGCGAGTCTTCGAGCTGTGCATATACATCATCAGACTCAAGGTCTTCCATAGAGCTGCGGAAGAAGCGCGTTTGAACATCTCAATCTGTTTGATCGAAAGATCTCAGATAAGCAACATACCACAAATTCGCGTCATTAATGGCGCTCGCGGCATCTACTTCCTCTGAGCAATAGTGCATCAGGCGGCGCGCAAACAAAGCACTAGCAGACGGCTCCGCATCCACGCCTTTGCCTGTGACGTCATCAGACGACGTGTGCCACACCATGAGAAAGTGACATACCCTGCCGGCGCATCTTAGACCAGCCTCCGACGCCATCTGCAACGCCCATGGCGTTGTCGCGCACAAAGTAGGCGTCTTCGCCCACTTGTACTGCACCAGTCAAGGGTTCGATGCTTTCACAGAACGATTCTTTGCGGCCCAGTTTGCCGTGTCCATCACGACCGGCTACGCACACTCCGTGCGACCGCTTGGGGATCCCATACGCGCCTACATCGAGATGGTAGCGGGTGCGCTGTTGCTTCGCTTGCCGTTCCACGGCTGCGTCGCCCGTCGCCTTGGCAGTGGGGCCGGCGGCGGGAACAAACGACTGGTAAGGAAAAAACGGCTTGAATGGCGTGGACGGGTTCGATGGGCTGTCATAAGGGGCGGAAGTGAGCGCAAGCGGGTACGGCGGGGGTGCGCCATGTGATTGAGGGTGCGAGACATCTGTGTGGCCCTCGAGCTCGGCCTTGACTTCGGCGACAAAACGTGTGAGAGGTAAGTGGGAGCTACCTGGGCGCGATGGGGCGGGCGGCGAGTCGAAGAAGGGGAGGGGCCCGTGCGAGGAGGGGACAGTGAAGAGTGAGCGGGCTGAGGAGGCGGAGTTAGAGCGTACGCGCGAGGAGGACGGCGCGCAGGCGGGGGCAGGCGCGACGCGAGGAAGAGCCGCGTAGATGCGCGTATGGACGGGCTTCATGACGGCGAGCGAGGCGGTGGCACTGAGCGCGGCGGCGAGGAGGAGAACATGGACGTTGAGGTCTGAGGAGTGGGCAGTACGCGGGGTCGTGCAGGCCGGGTATCGGTGAAGTCCGGATACGATATCCAACCGGCGGCAGCCGATGGCACCGGCTCAGCTTCCGGCCAATCAGCGGCGTCTCTTTGCTGAGCGCCCCCGGCGGCATTTTAGGTCAGAGAGAGCTGGTCCGCAGGATCGCCCTCGTCGTTCTCTGTCGTGCTCAGAATGGCCTCAGCAGCGACGAAGCGGGCCGTGCCCCATCTCATGACCCTGGCTGACATCTCGCCCAGCCAGATCAACCGCATTCTCATCCACGCACACTACCTCAAGCACGTCTCGCTGCCATGGCTCGCGCCCCAGACCAAGACGCCAGATGGCAAGACGCCAAAGTTGCGCATGCCGTCGCAGTCGCTGTTCAATAAGTCCATCGCACTACTATTCTCAAAACGCAGCACGCGGACGCGAGTGTCCGCGGAGACCGCCACGACGTTGCTCGGTGGGCGTGCGCTGTTCCTCGGAAGAGAGGACATCCAGCTGGGGGTGAATGAGACTGTCCGAGACTCTGCCCGAGTCATTGGAGGCATGTGCCAGGGCATCTTTGCGAGAGTAGGAGACCACGAGGAGATTGAGGTATGTTGATTTCATTTATGTGCCTTGAATCTAGGCTATGTTCTTGTGATTGCTTTGCAATGTTATCCTCATTCGCAGTCTTTGCCCCGAGAACAATATGACAGTGTATCTGGATCATCAGTACCAGACAGAAAACTGTACTGTTGAAGACGGCGTCTTGACGTTATCCGGGTATGAGGCATAATATGGCAAAGCGGTCGTAGTTCGCGTCTTCAGAGGAATAGCTATAATGCGTGCCTTCATCCTGCACTGTGCACGTTCGCTGACCCACTACGCAGGAGCTGGCAAAATACTCCCCTGTCCCAGTCTTGAATGCGCTCTCGTCGCTCTGGCACCCCACCCAAGTCCTCGCAGACCTACTCACCCTGCACGAGCACCCATACTTCCTTGCCGAGGGCGCCGCATTGGAGATCCCAACAGGGAAAAAGCGCACGATCGCGGGACAGCTTCCCTCGCTACGGCCGCTCACCGTCGCGTACGTCGGTGATTCCGCGAACGTGCTGCACGACATGCTGGTGACGTACCCGCGCATGGGACACAAGCTGCGCATCGCGAGCCCTGAGCACGCGCGGTACCGCGCGCCGAAGCCGGTCTGGGACCGCGTCGTTGAACTTGAGTGCGACAAAAACATTTTCTGGACAAAGGACCCCCGCGAGGCGGTACAGGGCGCAGATCTGGTCGCAACGGACACTTGGTGAGTTGCAGAGCTATTCCTTTGCCCCAGCGTGTGTGCTTCTCTTTGACATGTGCTTATCTCGCTGTGCAGGATATCCATGGGCCAGGAGGCAGAAAAGGAGCAGCGCCTCAAGGACTTCTCGGGCTACCAGATTACCGAGCAATTATGCAGGGAGGGTGGTGCGAAGGAGGACTGGAAGTTCATGCATTGCTTACCGCGGAAGTCTGACGAAGTTGATGACGAGGTGCGTCTATCAGCGTCCAGCGTTTGTCTGCCACGTATATTGATTGAATGACGTCGTCACAACACAGGTGTTCTACGGCCCGCGCTCGTTGGTGTTCGAGGAGTCTGACAATCGCAAATGGACCATCATGGCGCTCTTCGAGTGAGTACTCGCTTCTATGTATCGGCGATGTTATCTGTGCTTGAGCTAACGGTGCTTTTGTAGTCTGCTTTTCGGCAAGTGGACTCTCACACGGCCTTCAGAGTCGACAAACCTATGACAGCTTTAAGTGTGAATCTACTATTTGATTGCTCAAGGCAGTAGGCATTTGGGGGCTGGCCTTTGACTGAAAGCATAGCCAATCGCCGAATCTATTAACCAATGGTCGCAATGCTGGGTAACGTCTTGGCTGCGTTGACAAACATCTAGGCTGGTAGATATTGTTCGTACAAACTTTACAAGCTTCCAATATAATGCTACACTTCCGATACGATTTGATTTCGCATGCAGCTACATACAGCTGTCATTTCTATCTATACACAGGACGGAGCAGCGAAAAGATAGAGTGCGCACGTTTTTGTACGGTTCATATTGTAGGGACGAAAGGGGGTGTAAGTGTGAACGTTGGTTGCAGTGTGTGCGGATGCACACCGCTCAATCTACGCAGCTCCTTCTCCGCTCCTGTTCTCGCGCATCGCACGTCCTCTGCTGACATGGCTCCGGTCTAGAATGACATACGGAGACTAGCACAATCCAGAATCAGACATTCGTTTGCCTGCGTTTCCATATGTTCACAAACGGTCTGGTACATGTTCAGCTACCTTGCACGTGCGTCCGACATCAGCGTCCGTATTTACGCAAGTGAAGCCTGTGTACGGGTGGCTCGGAATGCTCGTTGGGCAAGGATCTGTGACGTCATGGAAATGTTACCTCTCTTAGCGACCTCAGAAGAGCCAGCGCCCGGGTTACCTCTCATTGTCACAAGACTCTCGATGTACGTACTACTAGCTATCTAGCCAACGGGTGTTTTTGTGTTGACGAGGCGAGTGTAAGTGCAAATTAGCAGCAAATTGGTCATATGGTGCGCAGACGATCGGTCATATCCGTGGTTCATGGCCGCGAAAACACATCTGCAGGAGAGAGATCAGCGCGAGAGGCGTTCCCCGTGGGGAAGGGCAGTCTAGCGTCCGCGAGCACGTGGGCTAACGTCATAACGGTTGTTCGAGGCAGTGGGCGTCTCTCGAGTGCCGCGGTCAGGTCCTCGGGGACTCCAGCGAGATTTTACGTCTCTACTCCTGCTCACCCTGACCCAGGATCACTCCCCCCTCCCCCTCTTCGTTTCCCCCCGCTCATCCGTCCATACCATTCCCGGGAGCCCCCATTTCCACCGCAGCTCGTGCGTAACTCAGCTCAGCGATGGCCGACGTCAAGCGCGACGTCCGCAACCCCGTCCTATTCGAGTGCGCGTGGGAGGTCGCGAACAAGGTCGGCGGCATCTACACCGTCATCAAGACAAAGGTTCCCGTCACCGTCTCCGAGTATGGCGACAGGTACTGTCTCATCGGGCCCCTCAGCTACAAGACCGCCCCCATGGAGGTCGAAGCCCAGGAACCCGCAGATCCGTATATCGCCGCAACATTGGAGTCTATGCGCGGTGCTGGTGTAAAGGCCCTCTATGGCCGCTGGCTGATTGAAGGCGCCCCTCATGTATTGCTGTTTGACACGGGCAGCCAATATTCGCGTCTGGACGAGTGGAAAGGCGATCTCTGGAACCTCGCGGGAATTCCAACCCCACCAAACGACCACGAAACAAATGAGACAATTGTTTTTGGCTATATTGTTGCATGGTTTCTCGGCGAGGTATGACTGTCGCATATACAGCTTTTCATATCAAATTTTGATCTCTATATGCAGTACGTTGCGCGCCAGCTCGATACGGCAGTAGTCGCGCACTTTCACGAGTGGCAGGCAGGGCTCGCCATCCCACTATGTCGCAAGCGTCACATTGACATTACCACTGTCTTCACCACACACGCAACTCTGCTCGGGCGGTATCTTTGTGCAGGCAGCGTCGACTTTTACAACAACTTGCAGTACTTCGATGTCGATCACGAGGCTGGAAAGCGCGGCATCTACCACCGCTACTGCGTTGAGCGCTCTGCTGCCCACTGTGCCGATGTCTTCACCACGGTCTCTCACATCACCGCGTACGAGTCCGAGCACCTTTTGAAGCGGAAGCCAGACGGCGTTCTTCCCAACGGACTCAATGTCGTCAAGTTCCAGGCTATGCACGAATTTCAGAATCTGCACGCAACCGCAAAGGCGAAGATCCACGAGTTTGTACGAGGGCATTTCTACGGTCATTATGATTTTAGTCTCGACGACACAATATATGTGCGTCATCTAACAAAGACATGCGAGCATCCCTCTACTCACCTGCTCACCTGATTCATCTAGATGTTCACTGCTGGTCGATATGAGTATCGTAACAAGGGAGTCGATATGTTCATCGAGTCTCTAGCTCGTCAGTTTTCCCTCCTCGCATTGTCCGCCCCTCGGCGCGTGCTCATATCATGATGATAGGTTTGAATTACCGTTTGAAGAAGTCTGGCTCTAAAACGACTGTCATTGCTTTCATCATTATGCCCGCGGCCACTCATTCGTACACTATTGATGCACTCAAGGGACAAGCTGTCACAAAGCAGTTACGAGACACGGTGGTAGAAGTACAGAACCGAATAGGTGCACGGCTTTTCGAACACGCGATCCGGTCTAACGGGTATGTGGTTCACATAGTGCTTCATGGTTGTTCTTGATGCCTACTCATTTCAGCGAACACGGGACGTTGCCTACACCCGACGACTTACTATCTGAAGAAGATAAAGTGCTGCTCAAGCGCCGCATATTTGCCCTCAAACGCAATGCACTGCCTCCCATCACCACGCATAACATGGCTGATGACGCCAACGACCCGATCTTAAACCAGATCCGGCGTGTCCAGCTGTTCAATGCATCCGGGGACCGCGTGAAGATCATCTTCCACCCTGACTTCTTGAACTCTAACAACCCCATCCTTGGCTTGGATTACGAAGAGTTCGTGCGAGGCTGCCATCTCGGCGTGTTCCCTAGCTACTACGAGCCATGGGGTTACACGCCAGCTGAATGCACGGTGGTGAGTATCTGGCTGCACTATCGCTAGTCCAGAGGGAATGACGACATGCGCAGATGGGTATCCCCTCGGTGACGACCAACCTCTCTGGGTTCGGCTGCTTCATGCAAGATCTGATCGAGCGGCCGCAAGACGAGGGCTGCTACATTGTCGACCGGCGCTCGCAGTCCGTTGAGGACTCGGTGAGTCAACTGACGGACCACATGTTCAGCTTCTGCCAGAAGACACGGCGGCAGCGCATCAACCAGCGGAACCGCGTCGAGCGACTGAGTCCGCTGCTGGACTGGAAGAACCTCGGTATTGAGTACTCAAAGGCGCGGCAGCTGGCACTCAGGCGCGCGTACCCGGACGCATTCTATGGCGCGGGAGGCGAAGGCGAGGAGGAGTTCGACTTTGGCATGGAGCGCATGCTGCCGAACTCGGTCCCCGCGAGCCCGCGCTTCCGCATGTCCGGCATCGCGACCCCGGGTGACATTGGCACGCTCACGGAGGAGGTAAGCTGGTGTCGCGTGTCTTGAGCCTCGTCGCGGCGTCATGTTGATGCTTTGGACTTCACAGATGCAGGCGCTGGGCACGAGCGACTACCGCGGCTACCAGTGGCCGGGACATATGGAAGACGAAGACGAGGGGTACCCGTTGTGAGTGTTCCCCCGGAACTGACCGATGACGAGCACGCTGCTGACGATCGGCGCGCATAGCCCGCTGGTCATGAAGGTGCGCTCGCGCGCGAGTTCTGTGATGTCGGGCGCGAGCACGCCGGGCGGCGGCAAGTCGAACAGCTTGAGCGAGGGCGACCTGCGCAAGGCGGATGCTGCACTGAGCAATGTCGGGGAGGGCCAGGCGAACGGGGTGAACGGTGTCAATGGGCGGCATTGAGCGACTGTGCTGCGAGTAAATCTGTCGGCGCGATGTAATGGAAACTGGGACGGAATGAATCCTAATACATATGCCTTCAAGCCTGAAGAAGAGCCTGCCATATCACTGCACAGAGAACATTTGAATAATCTTTGTCCCATTGCCCCAAAGACCGACTCTACCATGTACTATGAAGACGGAGACGGAGAATGGATGATGAAGGGAGCATGTGGGATAATGACCACCGTTGATTACAAGTACAACAGGTTTTAGTAACACGTCTAGCCCACTATACATCACTGCTTTTTAGCGTTCTCTGCCTCTATCTGTGCTTGTGTATCATCCGCATTTTCCCGTGTTGGTGCCGTAGTCTCCGCTTAAGCGTTCTTGCCCTTACCGGGAGGCGGAGGGTGGTACACTTTCTCCTGTAAGTCAACGAAATTATATGCGAGATACGCGCCCACTACAGACAGACAACGCACCTTCTTTTTCTTTTTATCGGGCTTTGCGTTCGGATCCGGGTACGCGAGCTTCTCTACCTCCTGCCACTCCGCGCTCTCTTCGAACGCCTTTCTGATGGGCTCCAGCAAGCGCACGATGGCATCCGCCACCGCCGTCTTCAAGTCCTTTGGATGCAGCTTCTTCTCCTCGAAGTCCTGCTTGAGCTGGGCGAACGATGCGTAGTGCAGCGAGCCGCCGTAGTCCTCCTTCCTGTAGACAGAGAACACGGTGCCGTCGGGCGCGCCCTCGAGCGCGAACGGCGTCTGGTCGCCCGCCGCCTCCGCGCCCTCGTCTGCGTCTGCGCCCGTATTGCCACGCAAGCGCTCGAGGCGCAGCTCGCTGATCGGGATGACCACGGCCCCCACGAACGCGAGCACGCCGTTGTCCTTCGCGTTGCCCTCCTCGCAGAACGCCTTCTTGATCTTGCGCCGCACGACCTCGGGCGCGTCCAGGAAGTCGATCTTCGAGTCCGGGTCTGATGAGGACATCTTGCCGCCGCCGAGCCCCGGCACCATCGGGTTCATGAGATGCGCGCGCTTTGCATAGCCGAGCCGCGGGAGGTAGAGCTCTGCGAACGTGAAGATCTTGCGCTGGCCAATGGATGAGAAATCGTTGGCCGTGAAGCTTAGTCGCCGCCTACCTGATCGACCCCTCCAAACTGGAAGTCACATCCGAGGTACTGCTCGTCTAGAGCCTGCATGCCCGGGTAGAGCAGTCCACTCAGGAGGGGACTCTCGACTTGCTTGACGACCTCCGCGCCAGCCTTCTTCGCGTCGTGCTCCGTGACGATCGCGCATAGTCGGTAGTTGTCAAGGTTGTACTCCTTCGTCAGCTGGTAGGAGGAGCCCTCGACGAAGCGCAGCTTATGTGTCGGAATGCCCAGCGACTTAAAGACGGCGAGAAGTATGTGCTTGTAGTACTTCGTCCGATGCGCGACAAGCTCCAAGGGGGCCTTAAGGTTATCGAGGAAAGCATGTACGTCTGCAAAGCAAATGATGTGAGATCCTTTCATACTTGAGCAGACAAGGCAACGCACCTGCGAGCAAGACAGTGACCTCAACTCCGGCTCGGAGAAAATCAGCAATCTTCGTGAGGGGTACAAAGTATCCGATGTGTGCTAAGGTGTGGTGTTCTCGGTCACTGCAAGCTACATCGGAGCTGGCTAAGCAGACCTACGTCTACCCGTTGGTGCCGTTCCTGTGGCGAGTATGAATACAGAATCTTGCGCAAGTAGACCGTACACTCACCCCAGTAGCACTTCGGTGCACGTTCCTCAGCCAGTATTCCTTTTATAAGATCTCCTCCCAAGACCTCGTCCAAACGCCTGGTGATGAGCTCGTACTTATGCTCTGCGCTCGCCACCGCCATATCAAGAACGGTAGGAAGTTATCCAGATGTTTCGCAGGTTTGAGGAAAGTATATACTCTGCCTTGAGGAGACTAGGATAGTGTTGCTTCGGATTCTGCAGCGGATTAAGGAGCAAGCAATGTATGAGTTACCGAGTCGGGGATTTGTTGACTCGATTGATCGATCGATCGCGTACACTGCCCTATTTGGCATTTGTCAAGAACGTACACGGAAGGCAAAGAGCACGGAAGCTGGCAACTTACTACGAGTCCTTGTTTCGTAAGCCCTGTACGTAAACAAGGCGTATGCCACAGTGCAGCTGTATTATTGGAGAGTATACAGAATCCGAGATGCTTTGTCAATATGCCTGTAGCATCATCTGTCACCGAGGAGATGGTGGCAATTAGTAAAATTAATGCTAAGTAGCAAAACAGCAACATCATATGATTCTGCCCGTACAATAGAAATTGTACTGTAGGCTATAGTGTGATGGAAGAACACTCTATACATTTGAGGAGGGTAGGGGCAACAATGCCCCGCGAGCATGATACCGACAGATGTTTGAGTGAAGGGCACCAGCAGCTGCGGCATACCGGGCCAAACAGGCAGCATGGGGATATGTCTATGCGAGATCGTGACTATTAGGTGGGCATTAGATCCATACAGTTCTGGGCAAGCGGTGTGCACACAACCTTATTGTTGTCACTTCCATCGAACAGACATCAGCCTGTTTGAATATCAAGTATTGTATGACTATGTAAATGAGCAACGATGGCGACATCTCCTAAAAGATACTAATGTTCAAGTGCGAAACAAATTAAAACGACTGTGTAAAAAGACCTCCATCATAACCAGCTGCAAGTATTGCGTGCCTAAGAACTACGTCTTTAGAGCTGGATGGCTTGCACTCGCTTCGGGACACAGGTGTCGTACTCGTAAGAGCCGTCATTGGTCACCGACACCTTGTACACCAGCATGTACACGCTACCTGTCATTTCGCAAAGAGAGAAGCTGTTCGCATCCCCGTTCAGTGCAATGGTAGCAATGTTGTCCGCATCTGACTGCGCATTGAAAGATCAGCGACTGTTCTGCATCAGAATAGTGACCGCTCACCACAGCACAATAGTTCACCGCATTAGTCACTCTGCTCGATGCTTGCATCACCATGAACTCTACTGCCTCACCGGACAACACAGACATGTCATGTGTGATCAACTGAGACTCAGCGGCATCAGGGTTCGGGCGAAGTATACCACTGCTCAAAGAGAATGTAGGGAACTCGCTCCCCGACCCAGTCTACAGTCACCCATGTTTTTCAGCATTCACCCAGTGCTTCCCCTCATTGACAATCGACCTACTGACAGCCACCATGTGCTAGCCTCTCCGCTCGTCCCAGGAGGTCCCGTCGTGAGCGCAAGTGCCGTCCCGGTAGAGTTGTCGATGCTATTCACATCGAGAGCAGCGAGGGTGAAGTTGTAAGACAACGAGGAAGATGACCCCGCTCCGAGCACATTGCAGGGATTCTGGCATGTTGACAAGGCGGGCAGCGCATTGGCAGCCACAGCGAGAGCAATAGGGGTGAGGATGAAAGCAAACATGTCAACCAAAGCAGATGAAAATATAACAGTAGTAAGTGATTGAATCAATGAGCTCTGGCAACGAGTAAAGGAGCAGACGATTGTGATGGCTGTAGCACGACAAATGCACCAGTATTTATACTCCCAGACAGAGCACATCACGCATGACTTCCGCCTATTGTCAAGAACCTTCAGGGGATGGCAAATGTCCGTACAGCAGAATGTTGACACAGTGGGTGGTGAGCAGATGGCCAACGCTGGCCACACGGGAAAGTCTTCTGTTGGCAGGATGCACTTAACTCACCGGTAGCGGTAATGGGGTACAAACATCAAGGGCCTGTTTTGGCGTGACTGGGTGTCCTGCGGCCGCCCCACGTCATGCTTATACTCTGGGTTACAGATGGGGTCTCGCGTTTCCACCCTGTTTCTAGTCTATTTATGTATACGACATCAACTCCGTGAATGAAAAAGCAGGTTGAAGGTAGCATTCAAACCTTCTCATGTGGCAAGGATTGCCCATGTTCATCCAGGCCAGAAGTGTTACATCATGCGGCATTCAAAAGAGCGTGCACTGACCTTGTAGTAAACTTGATCACCTACCATCAGCTGAGTGCATTATACCAGCGGTGTGAGGTGTACGCCTCCGGAGGTAATTGTGCGTACCACTCTCATCAATAGATATCTATCCGAAACCCTAACAACTTAGGGTGAAGCAGGATTGAGTGTACAGTTTCTGGAAATCAGGCCATATCGCAGAGCATTGGCACATCAATTTGGAAGGGCTCACCAGCTTGTAGCAATATGCGGACATACACTAGAGAACAATGAATTTGTTAGAATTTTAGCTTGTTGGGTTTGTGGCAAGCGCACGCCATCATATTTGTTTATAGTACCCTGCAGCTTGTGCACAAGCCTCTTTGTACGTGCCTTTAGGCTGTATTCAGAAACCCCGCCCGACCTATGCTTACACACCAAGGTCGGAGGTGGACGCTTCGACCTCGCGCTTTGGAGGAAAGGCAGGGCTAAAACAGCTTTCTGACAGTCTGAGGCACACTTGGCCTTGATGCTGGTCGTTACAGCGCTGTTACTCATTGCTGTCAATGCCATTTGGGACTGCTGGTGCCTTGGCATCACCGTTGCGGATGCAGTGGTTCTCCTCACTGTGTGGGCTCATTGACAGTCTAGCATCTCCGAAGTTCGGTTTAGCTCGGTTCGGGGGCCTTTTGCCCTGAACCCTGAACCAAACCTAATACCTCTAGCCTGAACCGGACTGAACCTTGGACCGAACCCGCTGAACCCGTTCAGCGGGTTCGGTTCAAGGTTCGGAGCAGGTTTGAACCTCGTGGACCTTCAGATTTTGATTGGTCATACAAAAGATGTTAAGTTGCAAGTTTCAGGGTCAGTTATAACTACAGCACACAAAAAGAGTAAAAGGATAACTTAGTGCTTGAAATGGATATGCAAGGTGTGATGTTGTGTGGGTTGTCACATTCACCAATGACAGCTTATGTAAGGCTGCCTATTTGGGCAGCGAATGGCACTGAGAGACCTATATTGGATGAAAATCATCCGGTAAAATGTACGGTATTCGTGTACTTTTCACACGCAGAGCGCATGCGTTTTCATCCGGACAGTGGCATTTTCATCCAGCGAGAGTGCGAAATAAGAGTGTGAAATTCATCCGAAATTTCGAACAAAGCGCACCCCGTTCATCCAGCGCTGGATTTTCTGGATTCATCCGGATAATGGATGAAAACCCCATCGCGACGGATGAATTCCACCAGTAAGAACACGAGCAAAACCCTCATCATAGTGGATGAATTTCAGCAGTAGTGAGAAACAAATGTTTCCAGCAAATAGCTGAGTAGATCGGCACTCGAGCCCAGGGTAGGATAAATCAGTCAGAAGACATATATATCATCTATCAATACGCATATTACAGGGTTTTGTCATGCGAACATTCAATCACTATCTTATGCACGAGCTCGAAGCCTCTATCCTTGCCGTCTCAAACTGCACGCGCATGGCGCCTAACTCACAAGTCTTTCCCCTCCCTATGAGCGCTCTTGTGCTCGATCTCTTCATCCTCTTCAGTTGCCCAATCGCGCGCAAAGTGTTCAAGACAGGGCTGTGTGCCTGACATATTATTAGTGTCATTTCCTGCAATTGAGATGTGTGCTTACCAGAAGCATGATGTGTCCGATATTTGTCTTATCATGTTGATACCGTGGTAAACTAAGGTGAGAGCTATTAGCAACACTGTAAATGGTGCGTTTGTGTTGATCGCTCAGAGATACTGTGAGTTCTGGTCAAGGTTCGGCAAGGAACCCACTACTCACCTGGATCGACTCAAACAGTCAGTCATCACTCTCTAGTCCCATCTCCGCCTGCAAGTTGAACTTGTTACCTGCGGAGCAACTTTGTTCACTAAACAATGTACCTTCAAGTCACCGAACCTTGGCTTGAACACTGACACCGCACCTTTTTTCGCTCTTCGACAATGTTCGCAAATGCAGAGACCCTAACATACTCCACTTCGCATGTTTCTTGCTGTGCATATGGCTACCAGGTCCAACATCCGTTGCACCGTAAGCGTGAGTCATCGATATGACATGAGGAGAGATGTTGAGTGACGGGAGTCGACAAGTCCGGTTGCAAGAGAGGTGTGGTGCTGCGCGTTACCTCTTATGCTGACCAACCCATTGGAGCATCCTTCATCCTAAATCCGGTAATTTGTATATGTGGTGCAATGAGTTGAAGAGCGTGTTTGCGTTCGCGGTCGATGGACGCTCGCGCAGAAATGATCTGTACATTAGTAGTCATTAGCAGAATTGATGCAATATATCAATCGTTTGCCTTCATCATTCTGCATGATGAAAACCCGCCGCTTTTCTGGTGAAATTCATCCGTCAGGAGGGCCGGGTGGATTTCATCCATTCACGGTGTTGACTGTGTTTCATCCGTTTTTCACACCCTTGCCGTGTGAAATCGGACATTCACACGGTAAACGGAGCGAATTCACGCGGAATTGGTCTCTCAGTGATGGCATCCCCTGATGGATGGCGGGGCATGCACATCACGGTGCCGCCACGCGCACTTGCCTTGTGGAAAGACATTGATCATCAATATCATCAATTAGACTTACATAAACTAGTATTTAAAAATTAATTGGGTACCTTTTTGCGAGAACTGAGGCCTGATTCTGGTTCGCAGTTCGGACTGGTCCAAACCCGGTTCAGGCAATGCCTTAATGGCTTTGAACCTTGAACCGAACCTGCTGAGAAATCTACGGACCAAGCTTAACCGAACCTGAACTGAAGGTTCGGTTCAAGGTTCAAAGGGTTCGAACCCATTCCTGGACCGAACTTCGGAGATGCTATGACAGTCAGGAAATATGCTCACCACAATGGAACTAACCATAGTTTCTGAGTTGCTCAGGTCCACCCCAATATGATGATGTACATAACTCATAACATAGATCCAGTGCACAAGATCGATAGCTCTCGCCCAAGGCCCACTGCAGGTGACAATGAGTATGACAAGGTGTGTGTTGAGCGAGCGGCACTTCAAGTGCAAATATTTGAGCGTTGCCGGGGCAATGACTGATAGAGTGACCAGTGTGACTGGCCTGTTACCACACCTCCGCTTGACCTTGCCTGAAGGCCAAGCAGAGGCGAATACTGTGCCTCCCCGGGTAGTCGGCAGACCCCCCAAGTCGGCAATTTCATAGTATCTCCCTCCACAGTACTCGATTACCTTCGTGCTTTTGTATAGACATAGGTTTTCGTATGCCTGCTTTCATTTCCAGCTTGAACGAAAGCGAACGGTGCAGTAGTTCTGGAGTCCCTTCCTGAGGACCAGCTCAAGCCGTTGTCACGTTGGTGTACGCCTCGGTTGTAACAGCTTGTGTCGGAGTTTCATTTTCCGATCACGTCAGCGACCTCATTGTATGCTTCGAGCTACCTGCCCATAGAATCCTTAAGCGTTGGCTACGCGGACCTTGAAATATCACGCGTGATGGATGGTGATGGATGTGTTCCTTTTACGTGACTGCCGACTTGGGGGGTCTGCCGACTACCCGGGGAGGCACAGTATATCTTTGTCGATCGTTCTCGCTTCGTGTCTCAGATGAATTTCGACAAAAACCACTCTATTCTAGGGAGTGTGGTAGACAGAAACCGGGCTGGAGGTGTTATAGCCAACTGCTCAATAATTAGCTATAGGATTAATGTACACGAGTTAGAAGCGATGTGTCCAATTCCAATGCAATGCAGAAGCGTCAATTGCGACATGGAGCAAAAGTAGTCCTGCCCATCCTAGCGGGACAATGTCTGTGTATGCTGTCGAAGGGCATCACGTTTCAAAAATATCCGAGGCCCATAGTGTCGCGACGCCCAAAGTGAGCGTGCAATGTTTCCTCTACGAGCCCGAGACCCGTTCGAGAACTCTCCTTCATCCCTAGTCCGACACCTTCCAGTTTGGCCAACACAGTCCCATAGACTGCCTTGTCCGTTGGACCATGCACACCTCTGAGGTTGACGGTACCATCTAAGACCTGCAGCGCCGCGAACGCAACCGGAAGGCCAACACATCGGGCCATTGCAGATGTTTCAGGCGTTCCGTAAGAAATCAGTGACGATGTGTAGGTAGTTGTAAGCTGAGGGCTGGACGTTCGGCCAGTTGGTTTTGGTTGGGCGACAATCTCGTGATGCAACACAACGAGATCGCGCTCAGTAGGCTGGTAGCGAAGTTTGTGTGCCAGCAGCAAAGCAAAGAGGTCAATGGGAGGCATAGGTCGACTTGGCACTGGTGGGAGCGAAGCCGACGGCCGATCGAGCACGTTTGAGCTGACCTCAGCTAGTTTTCTAGGCATGATAGAAAGCCAGCGGAGGGCATCAATGAGTTCGGCGACATCATCCAAACCAGTAGCGTCCCTGACAGCTGACAGGATGGAGGCCTCATCGTCCATAACTAGTTCGCCAAGTCGTTCCTCCAGCGCCTTGCGAGTAAGCGAGCTCCAGTCGTCGAGATGGACTGAAGGCATGGTCTCAAGGAGACCTATTTTAATAAAGCCGGCCATCAACTTCGAGAAACCTGGATACCTGCCGCCTCATAGTCACAACGAGAATATTTCAAGCAATCAGAATCATACGTACCGTAACGTTCCACGGAAGACGGTGCGCACTTGATCGGGGACTTGCAGCCCGTATAAAGCAGCATATGGCAAACTGTCGCGGTTCGCCAGGCCTTCGAACTGTAATACCTTCGAGACAGGTATGTTTGGAATATGTGCCTGTAATAGACCGCTACCCGGAAGGTTAAACTCCTATTAGCCATGCTCAGGCTACGTCAGTGTTGTGACTCCTTGAATATAAACTTGAACGCACCCGGCCTTGCACAAGAAAATGTGCATCATTCAAGACGGCCGATAACACCCCTCTAGGACTCCAGCTAAACTTGTACCCAAGCGGAGCATCCTCCGCGCATTCTGGAGCAGGAAGACCGCCGCAGAATGACGTGAAAGACAAAATCTCGTTCCCTTCAGCACGTAGTCTGTCAAGGAGCGAGACCGCAGAGCAGTGGTCGATACCGGGATCGAGGCCAATCTCATTCAAGAGCAGAACATCAGCAGAAACCGCACTTGAAGTCTCTCAGATCTCCCAATAAGACCGTTAGCGAGGATGTCACGTACGCAGCATGCAAGGCTTTCATGGCGGGTGCTATGTAGGAGGTCGTGATTAGGTGCTTGCGGTGCTTGATACAGAGGTTCGCAACTGACGGATGTAGAGGTGCAGGTAGCAAACTGAAAAGCAAGATCGCCTGTATTCAGTGCATGTAAACTACAAGCGTCCTGCCGTCCGCACCTGATGACAACATCCGCCTCTGCGACTAGACAGCCAACTTTGTGTAAATCGCCCATGTCCACTGGGAGCGCTGAAGCGTTCGCGAAAGCCTTTGTCTTCTCTTCAGCATCCACTAGATTGTTACTGGCTGCAGGACGTCAATTCCAGGAAGGCTCTGATGCACAACTCTGGTAGGACCTACCCACGATGAGCTGGATGTCTACTCTTTTGCATATCTCCTCGATGGCAGGCCCAGCAACCATGCCGCTCCCAAGCAACAATACTTTCTTCTTCGGTTGCAATGTAGCACTTGATTTATTCACCTTGCTCGATCCTTCAGATGCGCTCGGCGAAATCTGCTCCGGATTGACTGCATCCCTGGTCGAGCTCCAAATTCCAAGCGGCTTCTCCAGCCAGTGGAAGTTCTCTGTTAACGTCCCGCCGCGAGCTACGGTCGCCCTGTCCAGCGCTTCTATACGCTTGACCTCTTCGACTTCGGTGATAGAACTACCTTCACGGTAGCCGCTGATGATCGTGCGGAGATATGGCGTCAGAACGTTGCAAAAGTGCTGAGACGCCTCGAGCGGCAATGCAGTCGGAAGAATGTCGACTGCCATAATGGTGACAGGCGGGAGGTGTGCTGGAAGGGTGCTCGGGCGGTGAGAGTAGAAAGGAGCAGATAGTGTAGAATGACGGGAGAGAAACTCGAGCCCACCCTAAGAAAATTCGCAATTATCAGCAGGTGATCCCTGTACAAACCGAAGTAAAGCGCACCTCCAGGTCACAGCTTATGTCGCCAACACAGGCAAAGCGACCTTTGCCTATTTGTCGAGCTTTCTCAAGGACAATAGGTAGCTGGTCATTCGTCATCAGGCGCGGGAACGACGGCGCCCAGCCTGCACCATGTAGTAAAAGTGACAGGTAAGGTGCAACCTGACGTGCAGAGCGGAATAATGAGAAGTGATATGGCGATATGATTATGCCCTACTTTAGTGTGGAATTCGGACTTGTAGTCTGACGGGTTGGCATAGTAATCCGAGCGGGTGTAGGGCTGGCCATCATTACGGGCAAAGTAGTCTTCTGGTAATGCATGGAGGACGTAGATCTTCGGTAATAGTCAGTGAATGCATAGAACACTATGTACTGACAGGCCACCTTCCGCAAGTCAGTGTCTTGATATAAGTATATTAGACGGGCTGCTAAGCATAAAAACCAGCAAAAAAAGCGCACCGGGATTGTTGACCAGAGCCGGCAGGTCAGCCACATTGACCTTCTCAATAGGTAGTTCTTGTAGAATATCGAGAACACCCTCAGCGACCTTGCCCGTGCTAGGTTGTCCTAATGGTTAATCCAGTTCCGTGCGGCCAATATTATGTCTTACCCGGTGACACCAAATATGATGGGGCCCAAAATTTCGGGTGAACCTTGTGATGCAATGCGTGCACCCACCTCCTCTCTCAGCAGTCTACGAATAGAATCCAAAGTAGGATGACTATGGGGTCGAGGCGTGTACTGTACGCAGATATTATATACATATCGTGAAGTCATTATATGCGATGCGTGCTCACCAAGAAGGGACTCGCAACGCCTAGTTCAAGGTGCGCATGAGCCATGGCGTTCAAAGACTCAAGGGCGCCAGCGACTTGATACTCCGTACATCAGCATTGAGCTAGCAGTGGACCAACCAGGCTTACCTCCTGCAAACCAACCAAAACCCACGGTTCTCTTCCCATCTTCTCCCGTAAGTAATTCATAGTCAATAAGCCGCGACAACAAGCCAGGCTCGTTCACACTGGTCCCACCAGGTGCGTATGTGGATCGCGACAAGTATTTGGACAGGAGCTCCATGTTGTACAATTGCCCCTTAATCGTATGAGAGAACATGAGATGAGTGCGAGGGACAAGTGGCGTATGGGCCGTGTCTCCAGGCGCAGGGACAGGGCTGTTCAGAACCTCTGACAGTGGTGTCTCCTTAATACCCATAATGATGTGGGCTGGTGCGAGCGTTGGATGTATCTTTGCACCTGCCTGAGGGTCTCATATGTCAGTCTGTTGGGAACATATGCCTTGGAGAGCGGCACACCTTCACGAACTCGCCAGTAGACCAGACTCTTCTGTCGCATTCCTGTATAAGGACGTCGACGTCATCCTGCTCTACCAGTCTATTGACCGCGTCCGGCGTCAAAGGGCATCGTCGCTCCCATATCCTCTGTGGGTCCTCGCGGCGAATGCCAATGGTGAGTTTGGCAGCGCAGGAAGGTGTTGCGTGGTAAGGACGCGTCGACGACGCGCGAATAAGGCGGAAAGGGGCTCGTCGTAGCATGAGCATCGTCAGGTTATGGTCTCACTTGCACTCACATGCGGTCGAGAGGTCCTGAGGACAGTCTGGTGTACAATGTGGTCGTATATAAAGCGCTCCGCCGCCATGATCCGAACCGAAAGAGCTGGTCACGTCTGCCAACTCTCGATCAACACCCTATACAGTACGCGGCGGCAAGGCCGGTTATGGAACAGGCGCGCCCCCTCCCCGTAACGTTGTGATCTGTTCGCATTCTTGATGAGCATCTTGTTATGAGATATCGCTTCGCCCTGTATACGGATGCAGACACAGAGTAATATCGAGCATGAGCATATTGGGCGGTGTTAAAGCTGCACTGCTGAACGTCCCAGACCTTAAGCGAACAATCACAGTAGTAGCCACGTGACCGTGAGAGGCACTGGCACTGACGATTTCAGACATCATCAAAAAGGAAATCTTCATATTTATGGCGATGAATACCCGGGGGACATGGTGACAAGCTGGCGAATAGACGACATGATTGGGTATCGGGGGCGGGGACGTCGTTTAAGGACTGGGACGTATAGTAGTCTCGCATCAAGGTGTCCGACCGTGAAGCAAAGCGCGTACTTTCGCTTGGCGCGCAGGACGTGTCGTCCTGAATGATACTCGATGACATCAGAGGCAAAATGTTTCCAGCCCGAATAAATCGAATATCTGGATGTGTTCTGCATGCTACAATACTTATGGTCTAATCGCGGATTGGCCTCTTGATGCGCTTTACGGGGGGGGCGCGCGAAGCGCTTTATCCTACAGCGTGAGGGTTGTACCTGTATGAAAATGTGATCTAGTCATGCCTCGATTTGTCTTGAAAAGCCGTATTCAAATGCTTCGCTCATTAATATTTGTTACTTCAAACTGGGAGCAATTCAAGCGTCATTCAGCAACGTATATCCACTGCTATCTTCCACCTCCTTTTTGTCACTGGTGTCTCAAGCTATCAATGAAGTATTGTTGGTACCATCTATTCCTTCCCTCAAAACTTCGAGCTAACGAAGAGAGGAAGGATAGACGAAGCACATATTATGGAGCATGTGACGCGACACCCTCGAGCTGAGATATTGTTGACTGTGGGCTCAAGGCTAAATCGTTGAGTCTAGCTTGCTTGTCGCCAGGACGCTGTACCTATCCTGTTTAGGAAATATGTTGCCGCTTTAGGAATTATCGATCATGATCGGACAGCTGTGACACTGTTGTTTCGTCACCTAAAGCAGTGTGGATGCATGGTTTCAGCCACTCGTAATTATCGCTCTCTCATCGTTGAATTAAGTAATGCCATAGGGTGTGTCCTGGAAGGCGTGAAAAATATCTCACTTGTATCTTCTTACCTGTCTAGAAATTCCAGATAAAGGCCCTTGTCTCTCGGCATCTTCCGGTGCAATCCTTGTCGCCTTGGCGCAGCATCATGACCATGGATGAATAAGCGCCCATCGCAATCGACCACGACGATCATCGGAATCTAGACGAAGACCTCCAGATACTCTGTACTGTCTACATCGCACCAATAATATCCAATGCTTTTGCCAGCGAGCCTATTCTGCCTGCTTCAGGCCTGGTTTGCACTGGCCGACACTCCGCCTACTCAATTGTCATTGAACAGTCTGCATGCGTTCTCCGCAGCAACGCTCAATCCGACGATGTATACTCTTCCTGTATCCACCAACCCCCTGTCAATATCTGTTGCCCTATGCTCATACGCTACTTCCAACCCTCCACGGTTCTTCGTCGCCAACGATTCCACAACAACGCCAGGGCCGAATACGTTGGGCCAGCCCAATGTATACGAGATAGAGTTGAACACCACTGCGCTAGGAGCATGGACAGGGGATATGTTGAACTTTGGTGTCCTGGCGATATACAATGCGACACAATCGCCATTTGAGGTTGGTGTCTCCGATAATGGTGAGGCCTCAACCCAGTTCTAGGTCAATCCTTCTGCTTTGGCTAGCCGGACGTCTGTGCACTTTCCACGATTCATTATGAATCCAGCAACACAGCTGCCTGTTATCATGGCAACGGTGATACGAAAGACCTGCCCTCACAGAACATGGTCTGTGGCAAAGTTGGGGCAGATGCTACGACACAGCTGTCACGTAGTGCCTAGACACTCGTCTCCCATCGTGACCCGTTGACCAGCTTCCTGTGGGGAGCTATGTCGTTGTTGGGATTGCTGGAAAGTATGACGTTGTTGGGATTGCTGGAAAGTATGACGTTGTTGGGATTGCTGGAAAGTATGACGTTTTCCCATAATTCGGCAGCCTTAACTCGTTGGTCGCCAGAGAACCATGGCAACTTCGCAGTATATCGACGCTGGCAAATGTTTACCTGCGAAATCTGCCTCTTGTCTTTCTGCTTGAGGGCGCATAATGTGATGATTTACAATGCCTTGTCAACTTACAAGTGGTTGTTATGAACCAAAAGGGAGTGCCGGTGGTCGGCTATACCTCAGTACCCCGAGCTATTCATAATTCGAACAGGCTACCGTTACACGGCAAAACCTGTTGCGGTGTCAGGTCTGCGGTGGCGAATATATGAGATTGCTAGGCAGATGTGCGTTCGTCTAATGTTGCTCTGCTGAAGCGAGCTACATAGTACTCATACCTTTCCATTCAAATGGACGTTTGTTCCATTATCTGACTGACTGTGACTTTCTAGGACCCATACATCAGTTCCTCGATACATTACCACTATTAGGAGATACCACCACAAATCAAGTATTGCTATTCTCTCCTCCCTTTTCCCCGCCCAGTATCTCTCAGCCGACATATCCTAATTACACCCTTCCTTCAGCGAACCTCACCTTTCCGTCAGAGCCTTCCTCCCCATCCGATTGGGCGTTGTTCATTGCACCCACTTCTTCACCTGCTTTTGCCTCTCTTCCGCGGACTGGCTGTGCGATGCGCGCTGCAGCAGGCAACGTTGGCTTTTACAAGACATCCTCAAATAGTGAGGGGCTCTGGCTACGCGACAGTGACGGTTGGCGCTGGCAATGGTTCATCAATGGACTCACTCCACAGACGAACTATACTGTATATGGGGTCACGAATGGAACGCAAGTGAGTGGGCCAATATACTTTGTCACCAAGTCTGGTGGGTCCACTTCCTTTCCATATGACTATATCATACCCATGAATGATTATCTGCAGCTGCGTTCGCGTGCACCATCGTCTACTCTGTCCCATTCTGTCCCTCCGTCGCCTATGCAGCGCCCCTACCAAACTCCGATCCGGCAGCTGGTATTACGGGCAGCATGCTCCCGGACAACATGACGGAGAACCTGCTCAGCGGAATGGCCAACTTCACCGTCATGCTGACGACTCTAGCGTGCGGGCGAGACCTTTATAGCCCACTCGTCACCTGTGCGGACTGCCAGGCAGCCTACCGCACCTGGCTATGTCTGGTCTCCTTCCCGCGCTGTACCGAGTACCCCACGTCGTCCACCACCAGCGCGAGCTCGAACTCAACGTCCACAGCCTCGCTGGCCCAAGTCACCCCTGCGCTCCAGGTGCAGGACGCCGCAAACCCTCGCAATCCGTACCTGCCGGCATTTTCAGAGAACTACACGGCACTGCTGCCGTGCATCGAGATGTGCAACGCGGTCGACCGTGCGTGTCCGCCTTTCTTGGGTTTCGCGTGTCCGAAGCCGCAGTATACGGCGTCGTGGAGCTATGGGGTGGGGTACATCGACAGTGGTGAGAAGGGAGAGGTTGGAGGGGGCTCGACTGGGACAGCTGCGGATCGATGGGGCAACGTCTACTGTAACGCCGGCGGCTTCCTCTGATTTTAGAATGCATCTGAGCGACCTTTGTGGCGCTTGACTAGTATGGTACGCGATTGCTGCGTTTCTACGATGTCCGGTCAACCAGTCATCTCTCGTGTGCACCAGAGAAACCCTGTATCTTTGTCGTTACAATCGATCTAAGCTGTCTACCATCCAAGACCCCGCGACTCGCAATTTGGCGATCTCTTGGTTCGACAGGGCCCGACTTCACAATTCTGCTTAAAGCTTCTCGAATCTGTATGGTGCTGCTACACCTTATTCTATATTTCAGACACTTAAGTCTGGCGACTCCGTACGTCGATCAGATCTCCGACATAAACTGGAGCGCTACTGATGCATAATGATAAATGGGTACTCGAGCTCGTCTATCACCTGTGCACAGCTTAGCTTTGCTCAATGCCGACTTCCTGCGTGTATAACAGCTGTTAAGCTTCAGGCCAAGTGATGGGGACGACAGAGGTACACCTATGCTGTATCTGAAACTCGTGACGCAATCATCCTTCGACACCCACATCGCATGGGAACTTATGTTATGTGTCAGAAGTTATGCAAGAAATGGCACAGCTACACTGACATATCGTTACCAATAAAGACAGAGCCAGCTTATCTCTCTTTCGTTTCCTCCACAAGCCAGTTCCACAAGCGATTTCCCAGCTCATCGTCATAAGCTTCCTCTCTGCACCTGCCAATCCTGGCCCATGGGATCAAGTACTGCACATTTTCAGATTTGATCAGCGGGCATGCTCGGGTCAATACACCAATAAATGTAATACCTCGCCGTTATGTTCCAACGCCTCCGGCATGGTCCCCGCCCAGAGCTGAGTTAGCGCACCCATTGGCGCAGGACGAAGCATGGCGCCCTAGTGAGGAACATGACTCGGTAAATGGTTCTCGGCATGAGGTGTTTGTACTGACGATAATTCTGCGCTGCATGGACGGCATGTGCCGCTGCAGATCCGTTTGAATGAGACCTGGTGCTATGGTTTAATGAATGATCAATATATGCCTGACTGTCTTTCGCACCAGGATCAGCAGAAAATGATATGATGCCCTGACCCTTATATTTGTTCGCAAACTGACGGCCCAGTACAGCATCAGCCTGTCACGGCAAATCAGCTATACTGCGATTAGTACGCGCTACCCGGAACGCACAAATTTGCTCTGCTGGTAGAGCTGCTCAGTACTCATTTTTCGCCTGGCAGGCCCGTCCTTGAAAGAGTCGAAATTGAGAGTATACACCAGCGCAGCTGAGGATGAGGTCATAACGATCCGGGCATGCTCATCGGGTGACGACGCCTTCCCGGCAAGGAGCGCGGGCATGAGCAGCTGAGTGAACAAGAATGGGCCTGTCGTCGAATGCAGCATCAGTCTCTTGACAAAGCTATTAGATGCAGCAGATTTGCCTATGACGTTGGTCCCGAACTGGAGGTCATAACTATCGTCAGTGAGCATTTCCTTCGGAGGCGTCATCACGCCGCTGACATGCAAATCGTGAGCGCGCCTTCTCCACCGCCTCCTTGTTAATTTCACTCACGCATTGTTGAACAAAATGTGCAGCTCCGACTCCTTGCTAGCAACCCCATTGGCTCAGAAATGAATACACGCTTCGGTTGTTCGAGCGGTGTACCTCATATATTCTTCAGCCGTCTTCCGTACAGAGGCAAGGTTACCCAGGTCAAGCTCGAGGAATATAGCCTCTCTTCCAGTCTGTTCTTTCAGCTCTTGAATTGCCAGCTCCGCCTTCAGTTTACTTCTCGCGCCCAAGTACACTTTCACATTTCGCTGAAGGAGCACCTGGACAACATTTAGTCCGATCTGATAACCAGCTATCATTTGCTATATGACACCTGCCTTGATCGTCTCTTTACCTATGCCAGTATTTCCGCCTGCGGAGCTCATAATGAGTGCCTCCGTAGCACAAAGCGATAATGGGTCGGAGACATACCGGTCACTATTGCGATGCGTCCGCTCAAGTCAGGAATCTGGTCTGCCGTGAAATCGCCCTTCGGACAAATCATGGAGTTGGCCGCGTTCATAACGTAGTTAAATTCTTTTAGTACGCCTGGCATTGTGCAGTCAAGGTCTAAGACGATCGGGAAATGTCAGATGAGGGTTAGAAGGCAAGCAGCGCAAGGTCGTATTGCAGCGACTCCTGCTCTACCAATTCAAGGTGCCGCCAACTTATATCTAAAATCGTTGTGCCGAGACAGTAACAATATACGGAAGAGTGCGCACGCAAGCACTCGGCAAGGCACACTGCGGATGTTGCGCCATCAAACTCTCTTGTAGCGCCTGACAGCCGATCAGATGCTATATTGTAATCGACTTTGCATGCCACTTGAATAGACGTATGAACGTCATCGCGCTGCGGACCTGCCTGTTGTTCAAGAATGCATGAATGAGAACTGTTCGAAAGCAAGCATTCTTACTTTGAGACTAAATCAATCTGCTCACGTCTGTGGCAGCCTGTATGGGCTGCGACAGTATGCAGCATCGATGCATTGGGTGGATTCAGGACATCATGTTAATTAACATAACAAGTCACTGCGGAATCGATATGATATCTCCCACCATGTGTCAATCGTGTTATTCGGACTACAAATGGGGACATGGACTTTCTAGAGACCGCGCTAATGACACTAGGCCCATTTGATCACGGATTGCGTAGTATCGAACCTAGGCTAAGTCAGTCGTGTAATTATCTAACATGGTTGCTACTCACATATGATTAGGCCCCGAGCTACTGTCGGAGACACTCATTCACAGCGCAAACAAATCCTACGAAATTATGGAAAATGCCTTTCGCCTCGCCATAGTATGACGCTCATCGCGATTGTCAAGAACCCACAGGGTGTCAACATTCAACCACAATTAATCACGGCGCAAGCACATGATAACCACGCAGACTCACTGAACCCCAAGCACTACCACCGAGCGCCGGAAACATCCTGCTCCTAGGACATCCGATGGCAGTAGACTACTAATCAGTATTGTTCAAGAACTCACTGAGAGATCGGTTACGGCACGAACGATTATATCTCGAAACGCATGACAGCGAGCTTTCAACTTTAATCTGTCACAGCTATTGGCGAATTGCATATATGCATTCTCGCGATTGCAATTCAAAAGCTCTTGAGCCTCGACCACCATCTCGTTCCTTGAACTTTGGACTCCTGAACACGAGTAGCCAATGTCAGCGAGTCTGAAGTGAAGCCAGATCTCACAGTGGAAAGTGTATTGGTGACAGGTTCAGACATCTGGGTCTCCTACGGTTATTTGGCCCGATCCGCCGCCTTAAAGTAGTGAGAGACCGCATCTCATGCACATAGGCCGCGCCAGTTCTGGGTGTGAAGTGGCAGACCGTCGTCGCGACCACGGTCTTCGCGACCGTGACCCTCACGCGCTGCACGTGATCGCGTTGATCTCCTGAACATATCTGCCGTAACTCTCTTCCGGATAACATAACGTATGTTCTTACTGCTAATCCAATGGCTCCTTATCCTTTATCATGACTGCTTTCATGGCCGCCTGGTCTCTGGAGACATCCGGCAAAGCCTAACGGCGTCCAAGGGGTTCTTCAGCAACTGACTTACTGTTGACATCATGTCTCATCGTCCCTCTCCGGCAACAAATCTGTCTTTCACGACCGGAGGCTTGAACGCCATCGGTGGCGATAATGACGCTGAATCGCTCTCTCCGCAAGATGCCTTGCGGATGGGTGCATCACCCATGAGCCGAGCAGGGTAAGGAGTGCAGCGTCCAGAACATTTCCGGTATGATCAGCTGTTGAGGTGCTTGTGATCAGTCTATTACAGCCGAGAAGTTATGTGTCGTCAAGCTCAAAGTCATCGAAGCCACGCAGCATCGGTCTTCATTCAAAGGGGGGCATCCGGGATAGCACCATGCACCTCTCCAATTTGCCGCTTCGGACGCCCAACGTCACGGCATCCCAGTTACAAGAAGCGTTCATTTTTCCAGACGTTTCAGAGGCGCCAGACGAGATGGATGCAGAGGCCCTACCACTGCCTTCTGCCTCCGTGCCGTCTCTTTTATCCTCTCGTCATTTCGGGAGTGTGACTGATCTCACTGCCTCTACGACTACCACCGCGTCTGCACAGTCCGGTACCATGACACCAAGAGGGCATTCAGGTCCGTCAGGTCTGTCTCTGCTTCTGGCTCGCCAAAACCCCGACGAGCCTGTGTCCTCCGGCACTTCGGATGCGGCGACATCGAGAGCGGAACGACCGCCGTTCTCACTCGCTTATACAAATGGTGTGAGACCTCTCGATCGCGAGTCGCCTTCGATTCACTATGAAAATGCCAACCCGGGGGAGGCTCACAACGATCCATCGGAATCCGCGCCACTGCTCTCAGACGTTGAGGCGGCACAGCCATCGTACAACGGCGGTAGGCACCCCAGTCAGAAGGTCGAGGGGAGGCGGCGGGGAATGAAGGGTGCATTATCACTCTTGCCGCGACTTAAGCTTCCCACTCCTAGCCTACGTGTCGTCAAGGTTGTATCCGCCGATGCTGTACAATCACTGCCTGCGGTGCTCTTGGGCACCCTGCTCAACATTCTGGACGGCATTTCTTGTAAGGATGAATTATATCGGATCGGACGTTGCTTATATATTTGCAGATGGCATGATTATATTTCCTGCCTCAGGTGTGTTTTCCAACCTCGGAGGCATTGGCGTCTCCATGTTCTTCCTCTCGTAAGTCAATATTGTACGGCCCCATTCGTGGCTGATGGTTGTCTGTAGTGCTATTATATCCCAATTGGTATACTCGGCCGGCGGCAGTGGCTTCGCGGGTGCAAATGGCAGTATGATGATAGAAGTTGTGGTGAGTGGTGGTCTCGTGTCCACGCCCCACCGCACATCAAACTCAGGTACCGTCCCGCAGCCCTTCTTCCACATACTGGCGAATAGCATCGCTGCGGACATTGGCGAGGACAGGCCACATGAGGTGTTAGCGACGACGATCGTCGCATTCGCTCTTTCATCTGTTCTTACAGGTAGGTCAGGAGCCACCAAATATCATTCGTGCGGCTCACTATTTACGTAGGGCTCACTTTCTTTCTCCTCGGCGCATTACGATTAGGCGCCCTGATCGGGTTCTTCCCGCGACACATCTTGGTTGGGTGCGCATAACGGATGCCCCTGCGCGCTTTACCAGCTGACGGACGTAAGATAGATGTATCGGTGGTGTCGGCGTATTCCTAGTGATCACAGGGTGAGTCACACGTGGCCGCTGCTTGGCGCGGGGCAAGCAAGGCCGATGGAGCGCCTTATATTCATGCCGTTCGCAGATTCACCGTTAGCACGCGTATGCCAGATGACGACTTCGACCTGACCTTGTCCACGTTCAAGTTCATCTTCCTCAATGCTCACAATCTAGGGCTATGGGTCCCTTCCTTCGGCCTGGCCGCATTGCTACGTGTGGTCACCCACAAATATGACCATCAGCTCATATTCCCTATGTGTACGTTATTCGTACTGAAATCATGGACGGGAAATACGAAGAACTAATTTTGTCGCGACCATTAGACTTTTTGACCATACCCATCATTTTCTATATTGTTGTAGCTGCTGCCCACCTCGATCTGGGTACATTGCGGCGAGAAGGATGGCTATTTGATATGGGCACCTCACGGGAACCTTGGTATCAATTCTACAAGCTGTTTGGTAAGCACCCATGCGGGGTTTATCGTCCGTGTTCTAACGGTATGTCGCAGACTTCAAGGCCACTCGGTGGGATGCTTTGTGGGCAACACTGCCTACGCAGTTTGCACTGTCAGTAACAAGTCTTGATAAAGATGCCGACGATCTGACACCTCTCGCGTGTCACAGGCTCTTCTTCAACATCCTTCACCCGCCATTGAATGTTCCCGCCTTAGGTTAGAGCTTTGAGCTCGGAAGTAGCAACTCGCTCATGGGATGTTCACGACAGCGGTTTCTTTGAACCATGATGTCGATACGGACAAGGAGCTGGTGTCGCATGGGTATTCTAACCTTCTAGCTGGCGCATTGGGTACCGTGTGAGTGCATACCATATTATATGTCTGTCCGGACTCATGCGAGCGCCATTGTAGACCTAACTACCTAGTCTACGTGAACACCGTACTGTACGTTTGACAACACCGCACGCGACACATGGGAGGAACATTCATCTCTTATTTCTAGATTCTATCGTGTCGGTGGGACAACACGAGTCTCGGGTTTCCTCCTTGCTGGTGCGACAGCTGTCTTGCTCTTCATTGGGACAGGTCCCATTGCTTTCATCCGTGAGTTCATCGGTCTCCTTATCCTGCACGGAAGCGACCAACTGCTGTCTAGCGGTAATGGTGGTGGGTGCCCTCATCTTTGTGCTGGGTTTTGACCTAGTGAAAGAGGCATTATGGGACACAAGACATAGAGTCAGCCGGTACGTAACACGATGATGACTGTATGTGTATACACTGAACCATTCATCAGGATGGAGTATGTCACGATTGCCAGCATCATGATCTGCATGACCGTATGGGACTTCGTGATCGGCGTCCTGTTTGGAATTGTTGTTAGCTGTGAGTCTTGACAGACGGTGCTCCATGATTTCTCGTGATAACATCTACGTTCACAAGGTATCTTCTTCGTTGTGCAGAGTTCTCAGCGGCGGAGCATCCGTTCGCTGCATTCTGGGGAAACTGTCATGTCGACTGTACGCAGACCGGGAGCACACCGAGCGTACATTCGTGAAGTATCGAAGCAGACCACCATTCTCAGGTTACAAGGTGAGCACAGTTGACATTACTAGTGTTCAATAGGAAGCCTTATCATTCTCATTTTCATTCAGGATTCTTGTTCTTCGGCACAATCACATACGTCGAAGAGACTATTCGAACACTAGTGGAAGTCCCCGCTTGGCAACGCAACCCAATGCGGTTTTTGCTGCTCGATCTATCGCTCGTCGCAGGCGTAGATATGTCTGCTGCCGAGGCATTTGTCCGCATCCAACGGCTTTTGGCCGCGAAACGCGTTGTGCTAGTCTTTTGTGGCTTCTCAATGGAGTCCACTATAGGCAAGTCGCTCCATAATGTTGGTTTGCTTGACATGGAAGGTGTCGAGCTGTTCTCCACGTTCAACGATGCTCTGGAGTGTACGTCTACGCGTTGACTGCTCTCTTCTCCGGCTAAAGCACCGGTATAGGGACGGAGAACATATACCTGAGGGCTTGGTTTGACTCACAGAAAACGGAGCCACGCTCAGTTGGTATGAGTATAAGTGCCTAATCCTTTCGATTTACTGACGCAATCTCTAGTGCTGTCCGGACGACAAGACTTAACTCCATTTCAAGAATCTGTGTCTGGAACGCCAAGAAAGTCTTTGATTGTCGATGCCGGCTGGCGGACAATTGCTCGAGGTATGTTCATAGTCAATTTGACTCTGATCAAAGTGTTAAACAACTCCCAGATCACTCTCCTCCTATCGCGGATGTCGGGGACACTGAAGAACCGTACAGAACCCTAGTCAAAGCATTTTCGTCATATGGTCCTGTGGATCGGCAACAGTTCTCTGCGCTCGTTCCCTATTTAGAGAGGGTATCCCTCCCCGCGGGTGCAATACTCTGGCTCCAAGGGGACGACCCGGACGGACTCTACATAGTCGAATCTGGGGTCTTAAGAGCCACTTACCGCTTCAACGAACATACGCCACCCACAGAAGAATCGATGGTTCCCGGCACACTTGCGGGCGAATTGTCTGCTTTGTCGGGACTCTCTCGCAATGCAACGTGCGTCGTAGAACGTCCAGCAGTCCTATGGAAACTCTGCGTCGACAAACTGCGTCGTCTCGAATCTGAACGGCCACAATTGGCAAGAGAGTTCACGCAACTCGTCCTGAAAGGTATTTCTAGACCATGATTGTGAACTCTCTGGTCGCTGATAGCGAGCGGGACCTCAGCTGCCAAGCTGGACTACGACATACTGCTTTCGGCGCTAGCCACTCGCCAATGATGACCACATTCCTTCCATAGACTCTGCAACATAAACGATAACGTAGTAGCAACTCTGTAGCGATACCAATAGACTTGTCTCATGGCACTCAACGTTGACGTCATTTCCTTTCTTGACCAAAATGCTCATAAATGAATACTTCATGATCGACGTACAACAATGTTTATGTGGTTAACCGGTCATATATCGAGCGACCAGCCTACCGTCTGAGATCTGATTGACAATTATTATAAGCTATTGCAAGAAGACTGAACTTTGCAACCACGTTCACTCCAGTACTCTAGGGATACATATACGGAAAAGGCGCGGGGTAAACTGGGCTGAATCGGCTAAGCGCCAAGATCACCGACTTGTCCACTACCATGGCCTTCGATCTCGGAACACCTATCAACACCGCCTTGCTGCTCTACATTCTCTACACAGTGCAGCGCATACTACTCCCGTCGAATGCTTTGCCGAAAACAGTGCCTAACGAATTCAAGGGCGGATACTCATGGATGCCCAAGTCGCATCCTCCCACGCTCCTGTACCAGACCTACACGCCGAAGACTCTTGAGCCATTCGACGGTAAGGAAGGCAAGCGCATCTTACTTGCGATCAACGGAGTTGTGTACGATGTGACCGCGGGGCGCAACTTCTATGGGCCTAGTGAGCGGACAAGTTAGAAGACTGCAGGATGTCGTCTTGATATGTATACGTAGACGGAATGTACGCCAACTTTGCGGGACGGGACGCCTCTCGAGGCATGGCCAAGCAGTCCTTCGAAACCGGTACGCCAATGGCTCCATAGAGCTACAGCCCAGTTTCCTTCTCACGCAGTCATCGTTTAAGATATGCTTACACCTATAGACCAGCCACTCGACAAGCTGGAGGATCTGGCCCCAGATGAGATGTACGTGGTTCTTGTCGGTTCATTGATTGACCAGCTGGATGGCTGACGATTTTGTGTTGATTGTAGCGAGAACATGCGAGGTATGTATAAGCCAAATTGTCACTTTCATCGAGTCCCCGACCTGCTTTCCAGGCTGGATGGAACACTTCTCTAGCAAGTACATCGTTTGCGGGAAGTTGGCGGAGAATGACGCTACGTGATCCGATGTCTGTTGGAAACTGCGGGTGACCTGTTCGGATGGTAAGTGGGGCAATACGTATGAGCTGCTATACCTGCTGGCTAAGTCCAATGGTTGTATAGTGTAACATAATGGAACTGTCGGAGTTAATAGACCAACTCTATGAACAGCTCGCGCCGAGGGGTTGCATCAGCTACGCGGCGTGCTATCGCTTAGAAACGGACTCTCACACCTGTCAGGATAAGCCCACCGAGGTGTCCGGGCTGCCGGCGCAGTTCTCATTGCGCAGGTGCCCTGTGCAATCGTCGATACATCGGACTTCCTAAGGTTGGGCATTATCAAGTATATTCCACCCAGGTATGATCAGGCTCTGGCCTATGTCATCGTCAAAAGCACCAACGGCGACGATAATGAACCAGTCTGCCGCCGATTGTGAGAGAGCTGATATACAGGTAGGCTGGTGGCAAGGACCGCGTCAGAAAATCGGGTATGTGCGTCATCTGACGTATATACCGAATCAGACTATCGTCTAAGCTCTGAGAGATATCTATTTGACCGGGAGCTGCCCAGCTCAGATGCTGGGTATATGACCGCGCCGAGGCGCCTTATGGCAGTAGCAATACGCTAGCTATCCAACGCGGATACTTCACTAGCTCAGTCATAATATAACATCTATTCGGAATAGCGATGCTGCTGCAACAGCTTCAGTAATAAACATATCGCGGATGGGTGCTCATGCTGGCTTGCATGAGCCCTCCGCTGCCTTTGCGACGCGCACGGTGCTGCATTGATGCCTACGAGAACACGATTGGTCAATTTAGCCTCCGCTAATTAGCCGGTTAAGCAGCCCGTCGTACTTATTTCACCATACCCTCCTAGAGCTCAACTGCTGGACAATGCATTGCCTGACCAATTCGGCCACTGCACAATTTTAGGTGGCAACTAAGCGGCCCGCACCAGAGGATCAAATAACATCTCGAGCTCTCAAGGATGGAACGAGCATTTACCGGTGTACAGTATTATGTGTAGAGATTGTGGTATTTCCCACGCGCGCTAATGATGTCTCTCGGCTTGGATCTCTCCGATGACATGAGGGTCTGACCCAGCGTCGCCTTTGATGGCTGCGGGGATTCAATTCACACGCAGGAGAAGTACGTTGCTGCTTCTCGGATGATCATGTGGGTATCTGCGCCGCAAGCGGTGTCTATCAGTCGTTGCATATAAATTCCGTTCCTTGTCCGCGAAGTTGTAGACCTGCTCTATCCTTGTGAACCGTATAATCTCCGCGTTCAGGCGTTATGCTTGACATACTGCGTTTCGTCTTGATATGTGGGATCCTCTGGATCCTGCGGCGTGTGCTCCTACGAGTCTTCATTCACTCACCTCTAGATAAGATTCCCGGTCCGCCACCGGTCTCGTTTGCTAAAGGTAGGTTTTGACCTCGTGCCACTCATTGTCTTCAGCTAATGTGTGACAGGCAACCTTCCTCAGCTATATGACCGCAACGGCTGGGACTTCATCAAGGGGCTAGGCGAGAAGTATGGTGGAGTCGTCAAGATCAACGGACTGTATGGTGTGCGTCAGGATGTTCCCATAAGGTCACACCAACAGAGAGCTAATCACAGCCCTTCAGGCCAAGATGCTGTTTGTGTTCGACCCAGCAGCTCTGTCCAGTGTAGTTGTCAAGGACCAGTACGTCTATGAGCGCAGTGAGGATGCCACGAAGTAGGCACTTGATGCTCGGTAAGATCCCGTTACGCTAACATCTGAGATAGGAGCACTCGTCTCATGTTGGGTGACGGCCTACTCACCTCGCAAGGTATGACCGGACGTTGAGCACTTGAAAATTCTCTCGCATTTATACTCGTTTGAAGGAGAAACCCACCGCAAACAGCGCAAGCTTATGAATCCCGTCTTCTCCATCAATCACATGCGAGATATGATGCCAATCTTCTACCAAATTTCACGCAACGTACGTCCCAGCATTCATTCGAGGCTGCGATGACCCCACCCAGTGATTATAGCTTCGAGACGCCATTGCATCGCGTATAGACAACGGAGAGAAGGAGATTGATGTCCTCGACTGGATGGCTCGCACCGCGCTTGAACTTGTCGGCCAAGCCGGTCTCGGATATTCGTTCGATCCACTCGTCCAGGACAAGGCAGATGCATACGCGGAGGCCATCAAAGCACTGGTGTATGTCCAACCTCCGTTCTTTGTCAGCTTATGTGGCGTGTGTATTCATTGGAAGTCATATAGGCCCACGGCATTTGGGTTGAGGCTGTACAGACATTTGCTTCCCATCGCTTTGAAGATAGGAACTCCAGCCATTCGTCGCCGTATCCTCAAACTCATCCCGAGCACGCGCCTGCAACGCATGAGAGAGATCAGCGATGCCATCGATGCCCATTCCAAGCGGATATTCGAGGAGAAGAAGCAGGCTCTGGCCCGGGGTGATGAGGCCGTCCTCAAGCAAGTGGGCGCAGGCAAAGATATACTCAGTAGACTGAGTGAGTTACGACTATGCTGACAGGAAGGTCGTAACTCACTCACATCGTTAAAACAGTGCAAGCGAACATGACCGCATCAGAAGAGGACCGGCTCCCAGAGAATGAACTATTGGGTCAGATGTCGTGCGTAGTAATACTTGGGTGCAATAAGCGTGTCGCGCTGAGGGATCGCACAGAACATTCATCTTTGCTGGCATGGATACCACCTCTGGTGCTCTTGCTCATACGTTGCAGCTACTTGCAGAGCACCCAGATGTACAGGACAAGATGCGAGCAGAGATAGTGCAGGCCCTTGGCGGCGGGCAGGAGATCCCTTATGATATACTGGTCGACCTGCCGTACCTCGACGCCGTTTGCCGTGAGACGCTTCGACTGTGAGCGAATTCATGACAGAGTAATCCTGGGTCCGCAATCCCGCTGACTCTCGCAACAGTTATGCGCCGGTCACCACTGTCAACAGAACGTGAGTAGCACAAAAGGACAATCCCGACAGTGCTGGTGCCGGGACTGATCATGTCATTGCCGCTTAGAGCTCAGGAGGACATAGTGCTGCCGCTTTCGGAACCTATCCGCGGCACAGACGGCAACCTCATCCAAGAGATCCCGGTGCCTAAAGGAACGGAGGTCATCGTCGGCATCCTGGCGTCTAACAGAAATCCGGCGCTGTGGGGCCCCGATGCGGCTGAATGGAAGCCTGAGCGCTGGCTTGAGCCTCTTCCAGACACCATCAATACAGCACGTGTTCCAGGCGTGTATTCGCACTTGTAGGTGATCATGCGTTTGCGATTGGATCAGTTTTTGTTGAGACGTTCTCATTCACAAGGATGACTTTCCTGGGTGGTGGTCGGGCGTGCATGTATGTTTCCCGAGATATCGAGACGTTTAATGGTTCTCACTCTAGCATTACAGCGGATTCAAGTTTTCTCAGTTGGAAATGAGTACGTGCTTCATAGTCTTCTGGTCTTTCTTTTCATCTGACAAAACAATCATCAGAGGTGGTCTTGGCCGTGCTGCTTTCGTCCTTCAAGTTTTCGCTTTCCAGTAAGGAGATTGTCTGGAATGTCGCCGGGATCCAATATCCGACAGTGGGCGCGAGTGGGAAACCCGAGATGCCCATGAAGATTGATCGAGTCAAGAACACATAATGTCTCGTCTAGGATCTTAATCGTTATACAATGCTGTAGCCGAGGTGATTGCGATGCAGAATCGACGATCTGTGCTTGCAGCGCCTTCCAGATCAGAAATGGCTGTGCGCCTCACCTGTTGCGAACGCGGTATGAGTGACAAAAGGCCCGACGGAAGGATGGGACGCGGTGCCGTGAATCAACTCCAAGATTCCGATCCACGGCATATCACATCCGGCCCCGTCAGTAACGCTGTATGACTGGAAAATCTTAAGTCTATAGCCAGCCCCGCTCTCTGTTCGCCCAGACATATATAAGGTGATGTGCAGAAGAGTTGAGCACTACCATTCCAACCAGAACTTACATTACTTGTCCTTCACCCACTGACTCTTATTAGAATCTCGACCCACTTTTGACATGCCTCAGCAGTTATCGTCCCTTCCCTTAGTTCAAGCATTTCTTCTATTTATAGCGACATGGTTGCTGTACAAACTTATTGGACCGCTGGTCATCCGGTCGCCTCTTCACAACATCCCTGGCCCTCCTGCCCAATCGTTTGTGAAAGGTAACGCTGTTAATGCAAGTTATCTTGTCGTGATCTCTGACGCCGACCTGTTATAGGCAACCTGGACAAGGTGTTCGATAGACATGGATGGGCCTTCCAGCGTGAGATCAGCGAGAAATATGGCGCCGTTGTGAGGCTTACTGGCCTCTTCGGTGTACGTGCGCTACAATTAGAGGCGGACCAGCAAGCACTGACTCCGAGAACAGACGCCGCGACTCTTTGTTTACGATCCTACTGCTTTGCATAGTGTCGTAGTCAAAGAGCAGGACATTTACGAGGAAACTCCCATGTTTCTTATGTGCGTCTCAACTCGTTTCTCTTACACTTTCATATTGACCATTCTGTCAGCGGTAATGGTCTGGTGTTCGGTAAGGGACTCCTTACGACATTGGGCCACCAGCATCGTAAACAGAGAAAATTATTGAATCCCATATTCTCGATCAACCACATGAGACACATGCTGCCAATCTTCAACAAGGTTGCCGAAAATGTCCGTATGCATTTTGGGGCGGTCTAGCAGTTTTGCTAACGGCTCACGAACCTATAGCTAAAAGAGGGCATCGCTATCAAGGTGCACTCTGGCGTGCGCGAACAAGATATGCTGGAGTGGATGTCCCGCACAGCCCTTGAACTCATTGGCCAGGGCGGCCTTGGGCACTCGTTCGATCCTCTCGTGAAGGAGGTAGATAACACGTATGGCCATGCCCTGAAGGCCTTGATGTAGGCATGGGTTTTGATGTTCACTATTGCCCATAACTCACTTGATTTACTGTAGGCCGGCTCTCTTCTCTTTGGCGATCTTGCGTCGCCTCTTGCCCTACGTCGTGAACATCGGATCGCCGGCGTTCCGCAGGCGTGTTCTTGAATTGATTCCTAACAAACGTATCCAGCGTGTACGCGAGCTGGTTGACATCATGGACCAGACCACGCGGCAGATCTGGGAAAACAAGAAGGCCGCGTTTGCGAAGGGCGACGAGGCCGTATTGCAGCAGGTCGGCGAAGGCAAAGATATCGTCAGCAAGCTCTGTGAGTCATTTCATGTAGTCCTCATCACATGCTTTGACATATGTGCACTCTTCAGTGCAAGCAAATGAGGATGTTGGTGAAGAGGATAAACTTCCGGATGAGGAATTGCTGGCGCAACTGGCGTGAGTCTTCTATTTCCTTCACCGACTGCCTCGACTACAAGCTTAGGCGCTGTATTAGGACACTCACCTCGGCCGCGGTGGACACGACTTCCAGCGCACTCGCGCGCATCCTCCATTTACTTGCAGAGAACCAGGATGTGCAGGAGAAACTTCGCCGGGAGATCGTCGATGCACATAAGGACGGGAATGAGCTTTCCTACGACGAACTGGTTGAACTACCATATCTCGAAGCTGTCTGCAGGGAGACGCTCCGATTGTGAGTGGATAACTCGCAATATTGCATAGGTAGCTGATGGTCGAGACAGGTACTCTCCTGCGAGTTGGGTTACTCGAAAGTAGGCCACCCATGGTTGCCGCTATTGCTGCTGCTGAAATGATCTCACTTTATTAGGACACGTCAAGACACTATCATGCCCCTCTCGAAGCCGCTCCGGGGTGTGGACGGGACTTTGATCCATGAGATCCCCGTACCCAAGGGCACTGAGGTTGTCGTTGGCATCCGTGCTGCGAATCGCAATCCTGATCTATGGGGACCCGACTCGGACGAGTGGAAACCGGAGCGATGGCTGTCTCCTCTCCCCGACACAGTTACTAACGCGCACGTTCCTGGAGTGTACTCCAATTTGTGAGCGGCACTTCTCTTCCGGAGAGCGCACACTGATTAGAGAATGCGCAGAATGACGTTCCTTGGCGGTTCGAGGGCATGCATGTAAGTTACATGTGTATCAACCGACTGATACGGTACTAATGGTAGCATCTAATTCAGCGGGTTCAAATTCTCGCAGATGGAGATGAGTGCGTACACCTCTCGTTGCATATGCCCCTGTTCATTGATGATGCCTCGTTGAGTAGAGGTCGTTTTGGTCACATTGCTTCAGTCTTTCAAGTTCACCTTGTCGGACAAGCCTATCGTCTGGAATCTATCGGGCATTGCATATCCCACAATAGGGCCTGTTGATCCTGTTGCAAGACTTCCTCTCAATGTCGAGGTGATATCCTCGTGATTCGGATGTCGTATCTTTGCATGGTTCACACGTGCTCAATTGTACTTCGAAAGTCAATGTTGTGTTCTCATCAGACAATCAGAGCGCAGTGAAATGACTTTCCTTGATAACACAGACCGATGAGTTGAGGAAATGCTAGTGTTAAGCTTCATTTGGGTGCAAATAGCAAGCTCGCACGGTGGTCACCCAATCTTTTGGTAAGCACCTCACGCCGGTGACCTTTGCGCTGGTTCTCAGGCAAGACGTGGCGCAGTATACGGGCGCAGTCATCTTGGTAAGGAAGATACAAAGTGATGCTTATTAACGTGAGAAGATACTGTTCCGGTTATACTTACCTCCAAGTGGCTGTCCCATGACTTATGAGAGTATATATATCAGAGTGGTCAAATCAGTAACTATGAGATCGGCGTACCTGCCTTCTACAATCACATAACATGAACACAGTTGCTGCGCAGAAGGAGGTCAGTGTTCCTCTGATCTTCGACCCAAGTACGTCCAGAGATCGAACACATGAACTTTCCATGATGCTTATCTCACGGCATACAGCAAGAGATGCATTCAGACCACTCCTTGAAGCGCATCGTGCTGAGATTGAGAGCATAAAGCGTCGAACATTCAAGTTCGGACCCACAGAAAGACACCAGGTATACGGAAAGATCTATAACCTTCTCATTTTCTTATGGATAAACTAGCTTGACGTATATTATCCTCCGGCGGAGAGCCAGACGACAGGAGGCAAATGTCCGGTCCTATTCTTTTTCTATGGCGGAGGTTTCGTGGGAGGCACGCGGGCCTTCCCTCCTCCATACGACCTCGCTTACGTGAATCTCGGCGCATTCTTCGCCAAGCGAGGGTGCGTACAGACGGCCTCGAGTATTGAGGGTAGCATGCTCATTGGTGTGCGGCAGGATATTGACGGTTATACCAGACTATCGTCTGGTTCCCGACGTCAAGTTCCCTGAACCAGTGGAAGACGTCAGGGATGCTATTGCCTGGTGTGTCGCGAATGTGGACACGATCGCCAATGAGGACACCGTAGCGATCGACTTCAAGTCCCTTTTCGCAATGTCACACTCTGCAGGGACCGTACACCTTTCCACGGCCCTGCTCTATCCGGGACTTCTCCCTAGCGACCTGCGATCTCGCTTCCGCGGCATCATCTTGAAAGGGGGCGTGTACCGATTCTCGCCGGACACGAAGTTGGCGGACCCTGCTGCTCTCGTGGACCTGTTCGGTTCTTGGGATAACGTACAGGCAAACACGCCGCTTACGCTTCTCGAGCATGCCCCGAGAGATATCATAGACAACTTTCCAGATACCATCATGTTGGCCAGCGAGCGTGAGCCGGACGGTCTCATTGCGTCAAACGAGATATTTGCGGAGGCGCTGAGGGCCAAACTCGGGAAGGACGTGCCGTTTTTTATAAATAAAAGGCACAACCACATCAGTCCGGATTGGGCGCTGTTCAGCGGGGAGGGCGAGGAGTGGGCAGAGGAGGTCACACAATGGATCAATATGAAATATGCTAGCAAATAAAGAAAGGTGTACATAGCAGGCTAGAACAGTGTAACAGTACTTTGGTTTGCTATTGATTTGAGCGCTCTCGCTCAACTCAAATGGTGATTGTACAATCCGCGCTTAGCTTTAGAAAGCGAAGAATTGGACACTGTGACCGGTAGTCTGGGCGTCGAATACTCGTAAGCGATGACAAACGATAAACACCATACCGTACGTACGATGAAGAGGATGCCGTCCTCCATTAGTAAACAATCCATGAATGCGCCTCTTTCATCGGCCTGATAGCTCGTTAAGGGCGTATTCACCCGGGTCTCGCTCCTTCGGCACCATAGGGTGCTTATGAGGTGGTTCTTGAAGAAGTCGGAAGCCGACAGCACACATGGCTCCGTCTCGTATACCGCCGACCCACACTCATCGTTGCGCAGCTCCTGCCGTATGATATCCAGATTTGTCTCCAAAACCTTCACCTGGAGCTGGGTAATGTCGCCGTCGATCATGTAAGCGAGCACAGCCTTGGTACCTCGCACGTCGACAAACGTGTCGACGTGACCCTCGGGCAGCTCGATCACGCGTGTATCCAACGAGCCCCAGTCGTCCCATGCGAAGCACTGTCCGGGATATGCGTGCTCGATACGGCACAAGATTACCGGCGCAGCGACCATGAACACGAACCCGGTCCCCACGTGCGCGTGCCGCTTGCACAGAAGGGTGTACACCATGAAGAGCTCGTGCTTTTCTGGTGTCCGGAATGCGGGGCGACGATCGGGGCTCGATTGCACGTTGGAATGGTTCTGCGCAAGGAAGGATGATCGGAGATATTCAGCGTCACGCGCAGCTTCGGGCAGTTTGAATGTGCAGATGCGGGATGGCTCTACGTGAGAATCGGCTGCGTCTGCGTCAAACGCGTACACTTCGAGCTGGTCGAGACGCGTCACTAGGACGCGTCTGTGATCCAGGAACATGAATGTTGTGCACGGAGCCTCATTCTCTCGAGTGACGATATGCTATGAAACTCCTTTGAGTATCCATTCCAATGGGAGGGGAGACTACTGACCAAGATTTGGCGACCGGTTTTCCAATTCCATAGTTGGAAGCTTGATACACGCTCCTCGTGATCGTAGACAAGCCAGCCGATGGTGTCCCCTTGCACATAGAGGCAGCAAGGGCAGTCATCAAAGTAAAAATCGAAAGGAACCAGGTGAGGTGTCGCCGCCAGTGGATGCTTCTCGCTTGGTTTCGACAGCGAGCGCGGGTGGAGGCACTGGTACATTCTTGCAGAAGCATATTAGACACCGATGTGCGACAGACAAGGGTCGCTCACCCATCGTTGGCTTGGACGAACACGACGAGATCCTGCGTCAAGTCAAACTCGAACATGACGACCAGCATTTCCGTGTCGCTATTCTCGATGTGCCACTGCTTCTCTGGTACACCGAGTAGTTGTGAAGGGACCTGATACAGCTGGAGAGAGCCCCAGACAGACGTTAAAGCAAGCACCCCACAAGAGGCAGACCAGAACACGCTGTCACAAGGGACAGTCCATATTCGCGGGAAATGGGGTTCTCGCCACGACCTCTGCAGTTCTCGCAGGCTAGCTAGTCTGTCGGCGGAGCATAAGTTATTGGGAGGTCCGTTCTCAACATGGGCAACTGCCAGCTCCATCTTGTACACTAGAGACGTAGTATTCCAGATGTGGGCGGCCAACACTTTGCAGACCTATAAGTTACTCGTCGGGTGAGGCGCTATTCTGTACCGAGACAAGCGCATTCTGCCCCGAGGTGTCAACTCACCAGCATGCATGTATAAAGATCCCTTGCATCCAGCTCATCCAAAATGATCCCGAGGATTTCTGCGGGAATACTCAACAATGACTTTGCATGAAATGGGTGCGGCTGCTCAGGCTGGGACGCGGATTGTCGATCGCTCGGGCTACCAAAACGGATTCGTTTTCGCTGTTCCCTCATTGGATGTTCTTTCATATCTGGGTGTAGTTTGAGTCTATGCTATTCCAGGCGTGACTGTGCGGATTCACAGTGGCAGAGCGAGGCGACGTTGAGAGCGGGGAAAGTAGGTGAGGACAAGAGCTTCAGCCACTGGTTTGGCCCAGCTCGGTTACAAGCGCCCAATAATCTTGAAGCGGCCCGGCCCAGACCGGACCAGCCTTACATAGCCGAGCGAATTCAAATTCGTATCTCTTACTCTAGTGTATGAAACAGGACAGAACATTCACGCAGTTACAATGTCACCTCTGAACAAAGCAAGCGCAGAAATCAGTCAAAACCATTGGCAGAAAACTTGTATTTGGGCCAGGTTTAGGTGAAAACACGACTCTAAGGATGACGGCGCTGTCCGGAAAGGTATAATCCAGATGGCATACAGCGCCAGGCCTGAAAATATTACAGAGTGCTTCTGCCAATGAAATACTTACATGAACGCCAAACTATGCATGAGAATCTGGTGAGGATACATTGAGGCCTCTGCGTTGTCAACCAAGTTCTGACCGATTTGTTCGCAATTTCCACGTAGCACGCATTGTTTTTGTTGCCACAATTCTCTCATTCCTACACTCTGATTAATTTGTGGGTGCAGACTTTGCCTAGCCTGCGTTGCTAACCATTTACGGACATGGATAACAGTCGATCCACATCTAGTATATAGACTTTGCCTCATGTCATCCTTGACACCCGCTTCCAGACTAGGCAAGTGTCGTCGATCGACCGGCATTTGTGACGAGGTTCGTCACATATGTTCATGTTCTCTCCTACTTCCCTGGTCCCCATCTCATATTCTCGCTGCAATACACTACATTATCTGCTAATGCATATTGTATTCATTGGCTGACCCACATTTTCGACGCTCTTGCTATGCCGCTTGCTCGCTCGCACTTCAGGAATAGATCCCGCTCACCCGCCCCCAACACTCTTCCTTCATCTGCCTTTACGACAATTCCCCAGCGCAGTCCTGTGTTCTACCCGCCTTCCCACTATGCCGCTGCAGCTGGCCTTGCTCGACCCGAGCCCTTCATGCCGGAGACACCCAACCCGAATCAACCTAGGGAACAAGTTGCTCAAAGGTCCCCGTCATTTACACCTGCGTCGCCATTGTCGTACCCCACGCGGACGCCGGTGGTACAGCCTGCCGAAGCAGAGCAGCGCCCGCCTCAGTCGACGTCGCATCTCAACCGTATGAGCCGTTTTATCGCGAGGAGTCCAAGTAGGTCTTCCCCTAAATCCCCACGACGCAACAGCACCAAGGTTCCGGATCGCCAGAAGATCATGGACGACCTCAATACGAGCAACGGCACCTTAGTAGACCTGCCGCTCGTCGAAATGCAGCTCATACCCACACTGCGCGACACCATCGATAAGATGACGCACCCTTCACCTGTGCAGCGCGAAGAGAGCGAAACAGAAAGCATGGACTCGGGCACATATGCTCGCCTCCAGGCTTCACGAATTCCCGGTGGGGGTAGGCGCGCGTCGTTCTGGACAGATGATGCTCGGTCGCCTGTAGGTCTCTCATTCAGAACAGACGCAGCGTATTCCCCTTCCCCTACGCCTCCTGACCTGCCGAACCCTCACGGTATGTCCTTCAAACCGGCAATACCTGTGAGAGCTGCTGCAAGGCCGCGTCCGCTGGAGGAGGCGTCTGCAAAGGCGGAGTCCACTCCTCGCACCACCTCACGAAACTTTGCCTCACCCAAACCCGCACTGAAATCAGCCTTGCGGACGCCAATCCCAGGACCTTCGGCGATACTAGAGGAACGAATGCCAGATAGAAAGTCTCTGCGGACTACTAGGCCCGTCGTGTTAGATCCAGAGACTCCATCTCTTCCACAGGGCTCTCGGACTGAGGTATGTATTTATAATCCTCATTTTTCGCGAGCGCTCGCTGAGATAGTTCCCACCAGGACGAGCATCTGGAAGGCTACAGGAATGCGCCATCTCGTGCTCGTAGTCGTACGTCTGGGGATCAGCCCGTACCGTCTCGGGCGGTCGTTAGTCACCTGCCGGTACCAAAGTTCAAAATGAAGTCTAATCCCGCCACTCCCCAGCAGCCCTCGCGGCCGTCTAGCGGCAAATCGCAGCCGCCCAACTTACCTCTCCCCATTCAGACACGTATACCTCCGCCGACAAATTCCCGCTCTAATCTGCCTAAGCCTGGTCATTCCTCCGTCTATACGCGGGACAGCGGCTCAGAATCTGAGTCGAGAGCAAAGCCTACCCGTCTCGGCGGGGTTATTGTCGACAACGTACGGGACATACTTAGTTCTTCCGGGAGTGAAGAGAGAGAGCGCTCTAAAGGAGGCCCCGCCAATCGTATGCGTATGTTCAGCGCACAAGAACGACCTCCAGCTACATCGGGGATACCGGTTTGCGGGACTAGGTATGGCAGGAGGGCTGCACAACACACACAGGATATACGGGACCCAAGTAACAGAACACGACAGCCTGTCGGTCTTGGTTTCCGCATGACCCCTGCACCAGATACTTCGAAGCCACACCATTCTGCCGAAGAAGACGTGGAGAGCGTGTATGATGAGGACGATGCCCAAGACGATTCATCAGTCGAGGAGGATCTATACAGGCGCGAAGCACAACTTGGCGGTAGAGTGACTCCAGAGATGTCCATGCGTGCACGGCTTCTCGACGCTGTGCAGCACGACGAGACCGACGTCACTGCAGACGGTAGCCAAAGGCGACAGGCGACGCTTGTAGGCCTTGTCGATAGTCTGCGGGCCAAGTATAGCATGACACTCGTTGACGGAAGTCGGACCCTGCCTCATTCAAGCGAAAATGACGCGTACCTCAATCAGGGGATTGTTGTTGCCGAATCCTATGCTGACAGAGACGTTGTAGCCGTATCTCAGGGAGACTTGCCCCTTGTGGAAGAGCAGCGAATGCAAGAAGAGCTCAGCTTGTCACCCGAGGAGTCAATTTACTCCGAGGACGATGCAGAGTCAGGGTATTCAAGTGATGCTGCTGGCCCGGCTGTGGAAGCGAGTCAGACTCCGAGGTGGGGTTGGAACCGACGGCAAATTGACGCCTCCTCCCGCGGGGGATCCGCTACTCTACCTCCTAAGTTGCATTCTCCTCACCTGATATCAGATTTTGCACCCGAGACGTACACTAGCGCGGATGATCAACCACCTTTCAGGCTTGGAGAGCAACCTCCCTCTTCGCCCCGTGCTGGCGCCGAGAAGCGTACCTCCGCCTGGATTAAACGGAGCAGTCGCGTTTCGCATTCGCCGTCGACAAATTCTTCAGCGTCAGAGAGCGCAGAATCCAGGCTACCTCCCGACCAGGCGTCCAAGAGGACATCAAGATATGGCGGGAAGGGTGGCGAAAGCAGCCGATCTCCTCGGGTGTCTTACGCAGGGGAGCGTGAGGGAGGTTTGGCAGGAAATGTGGTCGAGCGCGGACGACCTGTTGAACGAGAATGGGAAGCATTCGGCATACCTCGCTCCCTCTCATACGGTGCCGGAGATACCTCCACAGGCTCACACTCTGGCTCCGACGATCCGGACAGCCGAGCGGCGCTCTTGCGCAGCGAAAGTGACGACTCACTCGATGGGAATGAGCTCCACGCCAGCCTGTCCCAACAACAGGACGACTGGAACGAAGGGGGGGTACAGGGTGACCTCAGCCAGGGAGCAAGTGCGCTTTTTCAGACCTTGGCGACTCCTACTCAACGCTCCGTGGACTATCATGATGACGACCAGTGGGGAGAACGCGATCGTTTTGTGAAGCAGCGAGTTGTTCCCGCCCATACTCCGTCTGCGCTCCCACATATGCAAGAAATATCGTCTCAACCCCCACTGCCGAGCTCGTCAGCCACAGGGGAACGACGTTCGCGAGAGCGATCGAGGAGTCCGTTGCCGGCTACCCCCACCGGCTGGCGTTCCACTTTTCCTCAGGCCACTTACAATGAGCTTCTGGCTCATTATGGTCACGTGGAAATGCAACGACAAGAAGTGATATACGAACTTCTCATCACAGAGAATGCCATCGTCAAGCGCTTTCGTGCGATTGTCCAGTCATTTTTTCTTCCTCTACGTAATTCGAACAGCAGAACGTGGCTCCCCGGTGTCCCGCAAGAGGTTTCTCGCCTCTTCGATTGGTTTGAGGACATCGTGAACATGCATGCAGAAATGGAGCGCACACTAAGAACAGCAGCTCGAATTTGGGAAGAAGGCTCTGTGGTCGAACAGGTGGCAGAGCCGTTACTGCATGTCATACCCAAGCTGGAGGTCTACCAGCCGTATCTGGTCAGAGAGGAGGAAGTGAGGGAGATGATCGCCGATTGGGTACAGGATGCCCAGAATGAATTCGGCGAGTACGTCCGAATGAACAGAGAGCTTCATGGCGAGGAATGGTCCCTAGAAAAGCTTCTAGGAGAGCCAGTCATCCGACTGGCTGCCTATTCCGATATGTTCGAGGTGGCTCTCCAATGCTGTCTTTCTCGCCTACTTCCTACTAATACGTATCCCCCAGCGGCTTCTGACTGTCACGCCTGAAGAGCACATCGACTATCTCGCGACCACCTCTCTTTTGCACACAACGAAGACTGTCGTCCACGTTATGCAGGAAGTTCGGGCACGGGAGGAAGAATATGACTTCGTGAAAGCGGTTACATTGCAAGTGCTTGGCCTTCCAGAAAAGACTTCCTTGGCAAGGAGAGAACGTAGACTCCTTCACTATGGGCCTATCCTTTGGCTTCGGTCGATAGCTGACGAGCATGGAAACACAACTCCTATTGCTCCGGCAGTACAGCTCAACGGCAAGACCTTGATCCGTTCGGTGTCTAGGTCGGAACGGAGTAATGAGGATGCAGCCCAACGTACGTCACGACTAGCGTCTGCTATACATAATTGGCACATCAAGAAGGCGAGGCCAGGGTCTATCAGCTCGTCCACATCCTCCTCGTTATCCCTGCGCTCTTACCCTACTACTTCATCTTCAAATACGACGCACAGCAGCGCAGCGCAGCTGAACGATGCTAAGACTGAGAGCATACCAATACACGCTTTCATCTTCTGTGATTTGATGTTGCTGGCTAGTTCTGGATCAAAGCCGGGCTTGCCCGTCCAAGAATCAGAGGAAGAATGGCACTTACTAGAGGATATGGGCTTATCAAGAGTATTATCCGTATCTCTGACGCAGGAGGGCCACAGTAGGTCCTACTTTCACATCTAAAACGACCTAATGCTAACGGCTTCTAGGTAAACCTGGCATCCTGACATTAGCTGTGATTCCTGTAGATGCACACGATTTCGAGAATAGCCTCCTCGCCAGAGTGGGTCCGGTCAAACACATTAGCTTCATGCTGCCATCGTCAGACGAAGCTACGCTGGCATCATGCATCTCGTCACTTGAACGATGTCGTGAGAAGACACTGCGGTCTTTATCTTGCCCGCAGATGGAGGACGGGCGTGGCCCCCACCTCAGCTGCGACTTTGACGTCGTTGACAATCACAGATCGGTGCAAGCTATACTAGATTCTGGTCTCCCTCTTCCCAAAAGCCCCTCAATGCAACTCGACGATGGCGGCGACGATGTTGAGCATGTCAATGTTGATACCACGGAACGTGAACGCGAAGAACGCGGATGGTGGGCTTTGCGTTTTCGACAGGTCCTGCGCGAATATCAGCGTCGAGACAAAACACCATGGATACTCCATACACCATAGCCGGCATCTTCATATTGATCGGTAGTCAGTCATGTATCACTAATATGTTTGTATCTTCCAGTCCCACGCTGTATCGATATCTACTGTTCATCCTGAGGCATGTATCATCACCGTCTTCTCGTTCTTATGTCCATCATGTAGCAAATTCAGGTTTCTTGACCAATGCGATAACACCTCACTTTCATGCTTTACTACCCGCGTTGATCCACTCAACAACATCTACAGCCCACTCTTCACCTGCGCCACTCATGACGGACCACACTGGGCTCATATGATTGTGTCCATTCATCACCCTAAGCTCAATCTCCCCGCCATCTCCCAGCTTCTCCCTCAAAGCAAGAGCAAACTGTTCACTTTGCTGAATGACGTCGCTTGGCTCCCACTCGCCATGAGTAACCAATACTTTCGGGAAGACCGTTAGGGTGCTGCTCGAGGAAGCGGCGGCCTGCTCGAGCAGGAACCTGGGTGAACCAACCCGCATTACCTCCGCGGTCCCATAATATTTCTCCATGACGGCTTGTTCCTGCCCGGGGCGCGGAGGGCTCAGGTCATACTGTCCACACTGAAGAATAACGCCTCGTATTCGCTGTCGAAGCCCAGGGTGCAACAGTCCCGGGAGCAGAACCAACGTTGCCGCGTGGATCGCACCCGCCGAGTGACCTAAGACGAAGACGCGATCAAGATCTGGCTGCACGCTCGACCCCTCTTGTACGAAGATCTCGGAGGCGTGATCTACAGTCCACGCGATAGCGTCGCGGACGTCTTCAACGCCCTGGGGGTGCTTGACCTCGGGTACAAGACGATAGTCCGGGATGACCGCAATAATACTGATCAATAGAACCGGATCATGAACCTCTTGTAAGTATGAAGTGTTCGACGTACTTACCCTGCATAGGCAAAGAAAGCGCCTAAATTGGTGAAAGACAGATCATAGGGTGGCGGAGAAACACGAGAGCCCATGATGAATCCCCCGCCGTAGACATAGAACAGCACAGGTGCCTTTTTCCCGACGGCAGTCTGCATTCTGGGCGGGTAATATACATCGAGCTGAACCAGGAGCCATGAGTTATCGATGACCATACATTATTGATATGGGATCTGACATGCCCGTACCTGATGTCTGGCTGTGTCACCGTAGGTGAATGTCTTCCGCTTTACCTGTTCAATTTGAGCGCGGTGGGCCTCGAGGTGAGGAAGGAATGCTTGTTTGGCTTTGGTCCGCTCAGCAAGAGGCTATCTCAAATGGGGTAGAGCGAAGACGTACTAGCATCCATCATGGAAAAAAATATCCATGCTCTTGGTTGCAGAAATCGCGTTCATGTCGATTATGCTACGGATTGAGTGAGTGACCCTGCTTTTACTTAAGAGCTGTCATGGACTGCCGGTTCGCCGGAGCGGCTGTGATCGTTCATGCATCATGCTCGGAGCCGACAGCGCAAGGCATACGGCAGCCCTAAGTCTGGTAGCCACGAAATTGGCCATTCATGACCTAACTTGTGATCAACGTGGAGATCGGACATTATTGACCACACGTATGTAGGCGCCTACATTGTCATCAGCGCCTCCGAGTCTCACCTGTCACTCATGCAGTAATTGAGGTACGCCGGCATGAGACCGCCTTCGACCTGCATCAGCTAGTGATTGACTGTGATCGTATACAAATACATTGATCTATGCGCATATCAGCCGCGCATCTATTCCGAGCAATGATCAGTGTACAGTGCTGAAGGTAAAAGCCAAGCTTCGCTACAATGTAGTGACCAGGAACGTACGATACGTGAGAACCAAAAGGAAAAGATAGTACTCCCAGAGAAGGGCTGCTTGTATTGTTTACTCTCCCAAGATTCTTGCAAACCGGTGCTATCAGCTTCACGTTGAAGTCAAAGCAGATCACGGAGACATACCCAACAGCACCCATTGCGACCACTCCCAGAAGCAGACTCCCAAGTGCTAGCGCTTGCCGCCGCACGCTGGTACGCCACAAATGGGGGTCCAGCACAAAGTCTCCCGCAAGCATTTCCACGCATGCAGCGTAGATGAGCATGCCGGCAGATAGCGCAGACATCAGGCCGCGGATGAGTGTGATCTTCTCTGTAAGCGATGTACAATCCCAGTCAGCATTACATTCTCCGATACCACCGGAAATCGGGAGTGCACTCGCCTCCTTCGCTCTGTCCAGGTTTGAACGCGCCGAGCCCTATCGCGATGCCGACGGGAGTTGTAATGGCAAACGAAACGGCAAGCGCCGGTTTAAGAAGACCCATCCTCCCTGCGGCGCTGTAAGCAGATTGTCATATATCGTTGATATACGGGCACACCTTTTGCGTTTGAAACTGCTGACAACGTCGCGATACGAATGCCGAGGGAAAGACCCTCAAACAGTTGGTGGAACATGATGGCGGTTGCAAGCGACGCTGCAAGGTAATCATCAGCAACGAAACAAAACGACGCTGGTAGGAAAACGGAGGCACGCACTGTACTCAGGACCAGAAGTTATCGCGAGGGTGAGGCCAATCACGAGAGAGTGCAGCATAATACCAATCTCAAGCATCTAGTTCCGTGTGAGCAAGTCAGCCCCCCTCGATTGGCCCACTCTCTCGGTGGATACGCACTAAGATGCCAATGATCTGCCTCCTCCGCCCAACCTGCATCTCCGTCTCGTTCAGCTCTTCGCCGCCTACATGTTCCCCCGATCCCCATGCCTCCATATCTAAGTGCATGTGTCCATGTCCGTGTCCATGTTGATGTTCGTGTCCATGTCCGCGCGCGTGCCCGTGCCTACGTCCATGCCTGTGCTCCCATTCGTGCACATGTGCATGACTTCTCTTACGTCCCGAATGCTCGTTCCTCACATGTCTCTCGACTCCCACCTCGCCGTCCTCCAGGACGGGGCGCACACTCGGCTCGCCTGCTCCAAGCCCAAACAACCATCGCCAAGCCGCGCCCTTCCCGCCTCCATGATGCGACGCATGCGCCCCGCGCGCCTCATGCCGGTGGTGCCCGCCCGCAAATATCTCCGCGACTGCAACCCCGACCCCTGACGGGCCCTGACTGGGATCACTGGCGCGACGCGGGCGGCGAGTAGAGCGCGGGAACGGATGAGCATATGCTGCATGATTCCGCGCTGCCGGGCGCGTCGAGCCATATGTCCCGTCCGGGTGCGGATGTGCATGTGCATGGGAGGGCGCGCGGAGGGGCGTGCGCTCGTGCGCGTCAGAGGAGGAGGAAGACGAGGAAGACGAGGTAGAGGACGAGGTAGAGAGTGAATCATTGACTTCTGCAGCAGACTCAGGCGGCGCGAGGGGGAGGGGCGCATCTGCCGTGTGGCTAACCGCAAAATCCTCTCGCTCCACGGATGAAGAGGATACTGGCGAGGGAAGCTGTGCGGGCGACGTTATGGGCGCTTGCCCTGTGACGAGCGCGGAAGAATACGGTGGTATAGGCGAGGAGCAACGCGAGGGGGTGGACGAAGGGGATGGAACAGGAGAGGAGTAAGACTGGAGGCGGTCAACGAAGGACGTCGAGATATCTATGGGTGAGTGTTATTTCTATATGATCTTTCGAGCAGAAGCAGGATGGATGTACATACATTCAACGAGAAAGATGAGAAGGAGGGAGCTGAGGCTAAGAGAAAAAGACATATTAATACCGCCGTGACGACCAAGTGCAGGAAAAGGTAGAATCAACCGCAGGAAGAATCACGATTGTGAAGCGATTGTAACAATGTGAGATCCTGATGCGTCTGCCAATAATTGCAGTAGCCCAACCTGCATATCGTACACGGGAAAATCGCCTGCCAATCGCTCTGATCAAGGTGTTGGGTTGTCGCAATTGCAGATGACGAAGGTATCTCGAGCCAAGAGGAAAGATAGTACAAAACTTCATCAGGCTGAACCCTTGGTAAGAGTGCCAGTAAGGATATGCAACGAAGAACCAATCTGGTAGGGTCAATTACGAATAATACAATAAGGACTTTACAAGAATCAGGCAAACCACGGTATCGGTCATATAAGCATGCGGATGTGAGAAGAGATGTTGGACAAATGTGTCGATGCTCTGGTTCGATAGAGGCGTATGCGCTTGTGAAGTGCGTTGATAAAGAAAAGAGCCAGTGGATACACAAGGCTGTCTATATATGATGCGCTGCTGCAATGCTTCTGCAACGAAGCAAGCCCCGTGAAAACTCGTACAGCCGTCAATAATAGAACAAGAGCAGCTGTATGCGCCCATATATGCGCCCATTGATCCGTATGGCGAGAAAAGAAGCAAGAACATGGGCGGACACAACTGTGATGAGTGCCTGCCCATCAATTCTATTCCTGGATTGTCGCCAGCTGGTGCAAGGCGTCCAGACATGGAAATTTCGCCCATTCACACTAGGGGGAGAAGGACGCCGAGGTGATTCACCGTAGTGGATGTGGACTGATAGGTGTGTTTTCACAAGGTCGAATGGTGTGCGGGAGGGAGATAACCGAGCGCAAAATCAGACGACGCACTCACACTATCATGCCCACCCATTTTGCAACGCCGGGCCATCTCTTGCGGACGACAGGGTCCATGAGCGCCTCAAACGAGTCCTGCAGCAGATGCGCGAAAGCTGTGGCAAGTATGACGCCGGTACCGAAGTGCTTTCCGATGAAAAACACGATGCCGGGGACGCGCAGGCCTGGTATGCGTCGCGATATTGACGGGAATGTGGATGCTACATTTTCGGTGGCGTCAGCGCTATATAGTAAGGTGCGTATGTCCATCTATCCACTACGTACCAAAGAGAGAGACCAAGAAAATGACGACCATGAGCTGCAGCCGCGCTTCTGCCCACGAGAGTGCATCAGGCTCATCCGCCTGCCATCGTGCAGAGCGATACAAAGGGGTCTTCCCAGTATCCTGGCGTAACATTAAAGACGTGTCGTAAGATTCGGTGTTGTCGTAAAGTCGTAGATCTCTAAGAATGCAAAGGGACTCGGAGCGAGGAGCCAAAATGCAGAGACGCGAGTATGCGCTGAAAGAGAGATGCCTGACCCCGAATTTAAAGACGGCGAGAGGTGGGGAAAGGCAAGAAGTAATATTACCGGATAGAAGGGCTGCGTGATGGATCGAGTACAGCACAGGTCAGGAGAGCAGTGTAAATGCAAAGAATAGTATTTGTACGGAGATGCTTTGGCGCTGGGCGCTGAGCAGCGAGGACCTTCACAGTCGCAGGTAGACGCGCATGTCCTCTTGCGTCAGCGCTAAAGCGCTAACCTCTCGACAACCAATGGGCATCCTCCACTTCCTGCTGTTCAACCACTTCATGCTTGCGTTATTTAGGATTGAGTGTTAATTCCTCACTCAATGCCATTCTCCAGATTTTGTAGACTTGCTCAACGCGGTCTTCACGACCAGCTACAATGACGTTCGAGCGAATAGATTGCGAAGCATTAGTAGTTAGTTGTCGCACTTAGGCGGTGATGTGTAGGCTCTCATTAAGAGATACGACGTGTATAGACAATCTCCGCGCATTCTTATTCTCAAATGTCAGAAAATTTGGCTTAGGTGCGTTGAACAAAGATGACGTAGTTCTGCAAGGTTGATGTAATTTGTGGAATTCCACATCTGACAATTGCTCGAGTGACTCCTCGCCAACTTCCCCTCCCCCTCCCCCCTTACGTACGATGTGACGAACACTCGAACACTAGTGTAGCAAGTATGGATTATGCAGGTATATTAAGTGTAGCATGACAGCTCGAGACATAACATTGACTAAGCGCGATGCAAGGATCCGAGCAACGACCGGAAAACGTCATAACATGGCGCCAACGATAGCAGTGATTATGTCCAAAATTTGAGAATTGGGAAACTCAAGACAAAGTCCATAGCGCAATTTCAGTCCATCATCGAAGATAGTTGTCCCTCATAATCTCCCGTAGACAAAGGGCCATTCACCCATCGTACGGGATTAACTCGACGCGCACTGGGGTGCAGGTCTCATAGGTGTAGTCTTCGTTGTCCGCATTGGGCGCGTACACCAGGTTCACCTGGTTCGAGACCCAGGTCGTCGTCGCGTTACACAGGGCGAAGTTGCCCGCGTCACCGTTCACAGCAAGCTCGACATAGCTCCCTGATACCAACTGCACTTCACACATCAGCATAACTGCACTCAATAGGATCAAGAGAAGGTACGCACCGCAGCGCAGAATATCTCCGCCGTGCTTGGGCTGGCTTCCTCGCCGATGATGGTGAACAGAACCTCATCGCCAGTATCAGTCCCGAAGTTGTAAGCGCCGAGGCCATGCTCATCAGTTCCCGGCTGCGGCAACAGTGCGCCATCCTGCAACGTGATGTACGGCCATTCATTCTCGCCCCACGATGCTTCCGTCTGCCAATGGGTCATGTCAATATATGAGGCGTATTCAGACGAGACTACTTCGCTCACCGACAAGACCCACTCGCTCGCCGCGGGACTGTCGCCTGCTGGGCCCCACCCGAGCACGAGCGGCGCACCGGTGGCATTCGCGCCCGCACCGGACGGAACCGCCGTGAGGGTGAAGTTGTACGTTGGTGTCACAGTTGATCCTGCACCGAAGCCTGCACAGGGGCCGCTCTGGCGCGCTTGAAGCGCCGGTACGGCGAGAGCAGATGCCGCGAACGCGAAGGAGAGGACTGCGGAGGCGAACATTCTGCTGGGGGCTGTGGGCAGGGGAGGACAAGGAACGAGGGGACTAAGACGGGCAAGCTGGTGGAGAATCGGCATGTCCTGCGTCCGTACTTAAGGCATACAAGCTGGCCGTACGTTAGTCTGCTTGGCATGGCGTTGACACCCCGAGAATACGTTGTGCGCATCGGATAGCCGACCTTGATCGCAGGCCTGACTGTGATGTCGGCAATTCAGCCTGCCAAGGAGAGCGGGGATATAACGCCGCACAACAGTCCGCCCGGGAATCTCACAGACCAATTTGGGAGTGCGCCCAGGACATACGGAGACTAGCATACTCTGGGCGCAAATGACCTCAGCTTGTGGCTGTGCAACGCACGGCGTGTAAGGCCTCACCGAGGAAGATTCACGCAAAGCTGTTGAGATCATCTGACGCGCAGACCGGTCAAGCGTCACGCCGGAGAACGCTCAGAGATGGCTGGGATCGTTGAGGTAGTTTTTCCCATACAACGGCCAGCAGAAATACTTCTAGAGGGTATGTTTAATTGTGAGTGGACCATGGCACCGCTTCGCATGGATGACACGCTGACGCCGACATCAATGTTTCGGGCGTAGAATCGTTCTGCACAGTAACTGTATACAGTAAGGAGAGGTAATCCATAAACAATAGACACATTACCACCACCAGCGAATCAATGAGGATTATCGACGAAGTGCGCTTCCTACAAAATATCCAACTGGTCGCAGTAGGGCTCATGCGCCCGCTGAACATTAGATCGATGATCATGCCGAATCCATAAGAAAGCAGAAAGTACTCACGTTCCTATGTCTGTCCATTGTTTCTGCGATTTTTGCATGAAGCCGCGAGGAATATATTAGCATGTAGTCGCTAGTGCCACAGAGTTACGGGTAGCGTACGTTGCTCAGTCAACACACCTTCGACAGAGAGGAGTTATGCATCGAAGAAAAGTTAATGGGCTGAAGGAGCAGCCATTCGGCTGTCCTTTATCGACTTGACAGTAGAGGCGCGGCTGCGATTACTACTGTCGGCCTCATTTGCTGACAGATGGTGGACTCACGTCATGTAGTTTCGAACCGTGAGTCTGAAGTACAACCATGTCGATGCACTGCCATTGTAGCGGCAAGTGTTGGGAAAAGAACTGAACCCAAAAACAGTGTCGATGGAGTTCATGAAATGGCATGCCTACGACCCAATGCTTGGATATGAACCTCAGGGTGCCTATTTTCAGTCGATACGAGTTAGTTAAAATTGCATATTTCCGCTCAATGAAAGCTTTCAGTACAATACAATCCCAATAGCGAGAGACCTCCCTGCAGAAACTTACGTACCGGTCGACATAGTGAGTTGCACAGTAATCTCTGTTCCAGTCTATATCTATGATCGGATAGTCTACATCGCACAAGTGAACATGTCTACTGTCGCGATTATCAATGAAGCGAGCGCAACTGTGGTTCCAATATACTCACTTTTAGCCTGTTTTCGCCTTCAGGTTCCTCCAGAGCGTCATGAACATCACCGCGCCCACAGCGACCAACGCCACCTGCATCCCCACAAAGCTTAGCATCCCGATCTTCACACCCGCGCCACCCCATACTGCGCCCGTCACCCTTCCCGTGTAGTTGCTATACTGGATCGCCATGCTGATCCGAGAATTCCACTGGCCCGGCAGCTGCTTCGACAGTAGGCTCAGCGTCACCGTGCTGGACAAGTTGAAGCCTAGTGCAATGAGGAACCAGCACACGAACAAGCTACCGTACGTCACCGTACGCGAGCTCATGATAGCGATCGCGATGAGCAGGCCGGCGAGGCCGATGCTGGTCCCCACGGCGAGCGTGTGTCGGTCCTGCACGCGCCGGGCGACGAACACGTTCGCCACGAGGAATGGCAGCGAGCTGATACCGCCGAGGGCGATGAGATTGCCCGCCGCTGTCGGGCTGAAGTGGAATGGGTTAAGGGTCGAGTCCGAGCCAGTGAACACGGGTATGTTCGCCTCCCATGCACCCAGGATAAAAAAGCATGTCATTGCGAACCAACACATCGTGGCCGTGACGCCCCACTGAGGACCAGACATTCTTATCTGCTGCGGCTCGCCGAGGTCGGGGCTGCTCGAGCGCTGTTCGATAGTTTGGGCTGTGTCGCGAATGGGTGAATCAATCAGCGGCGAAAATGAGATTTTGGTCTGCCCACAATCATTCTGTATGGCAGATGGCCCTGCCTCAGTGGGCGCTGCATCCTCTTGAGTCATGACAGCCTTCTTATCATCGTCTCTGAAGGAATCCTGTTGTAGCTGAACGGGCTGCAGTTCGATGTCCTGGGCCGTGCGGGACACGGCAGGAACGTCTTCGAAGCATAGAGCCGAGAATACCCAGAAAACAGCCCAAACGCCAGCAAGCACCCAGGTAGGCGCCGTGTAGCCATTGAAGACGCCGTTCGAGAACCCGACCTTATAGCTGCAAGTACGTCAGCAGGGCGGATTCCGACGAGCGGTGTACATACAATAGACCTCCGAAGAAGGGTCCGATAGTCATACCACCGCCTTGCCCAAGGACTAGCCAACCTGCGAGCATGGTTCGGCGGCGCACGCCTACGATCCGCGGGTCCGAGCAGTATCGCTTTGAGTACATCCAGAAGGTGAACCCAAATCCAGACACGATCCGCCCGAGCAGTATCAGGTATAGGAAGTTGGCGCGGTACGCCAAGCTGTAGAGTACATTGCCCAGGAAAGCGGAAGCACATGCGAAATGCAGCGGCCTCTTGTATCCACCTACGCAAACAACTGAGTAAGATGGTTATAAGTATTTTACGATGAGTATACCTTGATCGAGCTTCATCAAGGGCACTAGAGCGAGCCCAGAGAAGACGGTGGGGATACCAATGACGAGACCAGAGAACGTAGCAGTACCGCCCAGATGCTGTGCATACTGGTCTGAAGATGATACAACGATGAAGAAAGAGACCTGTGCAATTTACAATGTCACGGCACGATCACCCTTACACGATTGCTGGACTCACCTGCAAGAGTGCGCTTGCCAGGAGAACGATCACCAGGGACATCGTCTTTGGCAGCTTGAACTCGTCATAGTCCGTCTGACCAGCGAACGCCGCATGCTGGACTCCCCCATCCAAACTTCGTTCCGTCACAGCAGGCTCTTCCGCAGTGGACTGAACGGCCTGAGCGCGACGGTGTCTGGCAAGCGGAGGCAAATCAAAGACCGTGGAGAGCACCTTGAACCGAGACATGATGAGAATAACGTCCTCAGGTATACACGATCGTTCTCGCTGGAAATAACGAGGTCCAGCTAGCAGCCGGACAAAGTGGTTTAAACGCACCTACTCTGAGACTAAGATATTTATAGCGCCTCCGTTGCAACGCCGAGCCCGCAAATCCGTTGATGGACGCCCTATTTTTCATGATGAGCGCCACGAAAGGTGCATCATTATTAGCACATTGCTAAACCCGTAGCCAGTCGCTACTACTACGCACCGCGCGTGGGCAGTGCTAAGTCCGAGAGGTGGGACACAGGAGGAAGCAACCTTGAGATCGCTAGCCTTGTTTGGGAGCGATCACGTGACTGACGCGCGACGCGGTGGCTAAGTACCCAGCGTGTTTTATCTGGATCTTCGTATATACACACGCCGGGAAACAAATATATACATGGGTGAATGCATCCACAATTTTAGAGGCTTTCAAGAGCCCTTACGGGGTTTGAATCGAGCCGGGTGCAAGTCCTTGAGCCTAAGCGCGCTGCATAGCGGCTTGTTCCGCGTGTCCCATAACGGTATGGACAGAGATTGGACAGAGACGCGCTGGTGTGTGAGATGCGACACCGTTTTTCAAATATTCAGCGCTCAGCCGGGGCTTCAACGGAGAGCCGCGCCCGCGCAAGAGACCTGCCACCAGCACGCAGTATGACGACTGTGAGAATGTCTACGGAGCGCACGTTTGAGAACAGCTTGGGACACACAACGAGTAGGAGCACGCACAAAGTATGAGTACACCGTTCGATCAGGGAAAGAGCAACGGACGACAGCAAACTGAGAGTGATTGAAGTCCGTGAGACAGCGAACAAGAACCCTGCATAGTCGACGGCTCGGATGGTAACAATACAATGCGGGACGTGGACCGTGGTATGGTACCGTATGTTTAGGAATAGCCTTCTCAGACTCAGGCCTCAGATGAGCGTCGATCTGTAGTAGGCAAAACGCCGTCTATGACACTGAGGCACCGCAGAGACGTCAATGTCATGTATGTGACAACGGCCAATAAAAGTGGAGGCGAAGCTGTAGTGGGTGCAGGCGCGGTACGTGCGCTGGAGGAAAAGCGAATGCGAGACGGATTCGGAGAGAGGATAGTATGGGGGCTTGGGACAATGGCAGACTCGATGTATAACGAAAGTAAGTGTACCGGATCATCTCGATTTTCTGCAGGCGGAACGTTGCTGAGCCCGACGAATCCTGTGAGAACGACGCGCGTGACGGCTCCGGCTTGGTGAGTCTTGAGGAAAATACCCTTCCTTCAGATCCCCCCGCTCAGGGAACGCTGTCCATATACGCGCAATCCTGGCCCTGCAGATGACTTTCCAGCCACACCTTAATGCAAGCAAATCGGGTCATTTTTGCCCTGTCGACGAGCGCTCCCCAGAGGGCGTACCATGATCGTGTGGCGTAGAGTCACCCGGGGACTCTACCGAACCGGCTGTTGCATTTTGCGGTACAGGTTTATCGTCGCACGCTGGCTCGGCAGGTACTCGTGCATCCGTTGATTTTGACGAGGAAGGTAGCTGAGCATCGGCATAGGTGGCTGACGGCACCCAGACGGGCTGCGATATTGCAGACACCACGTCTGAGGCGTCATGCGGGTTTGTAACGGTGGCAGTGTTGTTCGTACGCCTGTCGTCGTCGGCACTAGCCCCTGCATTAGTCATTACAGCGTCCTGTGCGGTAATGCTCCCAGCCCCGTCACATATCCAGTCACCGATCACTTTGTCCCAATGCATTCCAAGTCTGGACAGTCCGTGTCAGCGAGCTGATGAAAAGGCGATGAACTCAGCGTACCTGATGTTATTCCGGAATACGCTATGAGTATACACATTGTTAATGAAACAGTGGAGTGTACAAGATGCGAGGTCACGCACCCTAGAATACCGCGTGCATCAAGCATTGGCAAGCACAATGTTAGCCCATGCGCTGAATCTTCATCTTGCACAGCCGATCTATCACTGTATATTAGGACGCGCACGATAACGTGTGTGAGGTTGTGGAAGATCGGCCCAGAGAGGACGGTATCAAGCTCGCGGAAGTCATCCATCAGCTTTCCTAGATCTATGCCAAGCTCTTCGCCGGGTGGATAATAAGGGCTGAAGTATACTTAAATCTTGGATAAATGCGCGGAAGTGACCTGCGATAGGATTCCGATCACTGGTGCACACGGATGTAACATATTGTTGTGAGTGCTTTGAACTGTGAGCTCGAGGTATTTGAGGCATGTATTTCCAGAAACATCGAAGTATGGAACTATACATACGGATCGTAAGAATTCACGAGGGAGCATAGAAGGGAACGGACCTGCACCGTGGTCTGCATGTACCCATTTAGGCCTATCCGATGTTACATGCTGTACTAAGGGTGAGTTGAGTGGTAGATGGTAGAGTGATTGTGAGTTTTTGACGAGTCTCTCAAGAGCGGCGCCGCACACTGCCATGAGACCAGTGTCGACGAAGAAGTCAACCAGGTCGGTCACAGAGCAAGGGTCGGAGTATATGCTGAAGCCCGATGTCAGTGCGACATCTGCTAACTGTAATGGTAAGCCAAGGTGTACAGTAACACTTCTGAGGTCAAAGCCGTGTTTCACAAACGCGCATGATCTGCATAATTCGAGGGTTTCGAGTGCAGGGAAAGCGCACAGGAGGCGACGAAAGGTCGTGACCGAGGGAAACTTAGCATCATCGAGACATAGTCGTTAAACGGCGCTCCAAGGGGGCACCTGTGCAAGATTCGGGGGAGCGACTGGGCATCTCCTGTTACTGATGGCAGCCATGAAGTCGACCAATTCAACATAGGAGAGTCTCAGTACCAAGTCATCGCGCACATGTTCGACGTTGAGTGTCTCCAGCTACGTGCACGACAGAAGGCGGAAGCGAGAGACGGTAAAGGCATCAAAGGGATGCTGGGTGAATCGGAGATCATAGAGAGTGAGCTCTTTGAGCCGCGGGAGAGCGCAGAGCAGACGGCCAAACGTCAAAATTGATGGAAAGATGACGTCGAGGAGGCAGAGTTTGGTAATCGCACAAGCGACCAGATCGTGCAAGACGGCGTCCAAATCGAAATCCTGCGCCCGCCACATCGCGTTACAGATCCTCAGCGTACGAACGCTAGGCCATCTGCCTGCAAGCCTCGACGCGAATGTCGCCAGATGTCGAATCGGTCGGCGCTCGTCTTTCCAGTTCCCGCCTATGATCGACACCATCGATGGCCCACCCCAGCGTCGTAACTTACCACCAGGAACATGCGTGCTCCACCCCCTCTACATTCTTGAATTCCACGCCGTAAGTCTCTAGGCACTCCAGTGCCATCCATTCGAATCCTCTGCACACCACCCTGCATCGTTCCAACGCGTCGTACTCGCCTTCCTTAGCCAGGTCTTTGAAGATGTCCAACGATATCTCGTTCGGGAAGGGCTGCACCATGGTATACAGACCTTCACGATGTGCCAGTAATCCTAGTTGTCAAGATGTCTGCACGCATCCCGGTTGCGCGATCTGACAGAGCTCACCAGATTGTCGCAGTATCAATGGAAGGTATTCGGTCTGCCGTGATTTAGCGAGCCGCAGTTGAGACGAGGTGCGTACGCATTCATTTCGTAAAGCTACCTGATCTACATTCACTGAACATGACAAACCTTACTACCTTAGCATGACATAGCTTCCATGCATCGCTTTCCGATTCGACCCGTGCGACTCACGCTGGCTCTAGATGATTTTGTAACCTATTTCTTGCTGGCGGCGACGCCTGTTATTCCTGCAGAGTTGCTTAAAGGATGTTTTCCCCGCGATCTCGCATACCGGCGGTGGCGCCCCCGCTCTTACGCCCGCCTTCGTCACGTGCATGGCCCGGGACACGCTTACATACGGATATTCCCTTATTCGGAAGTCACGGTACCGCTCGTGGAAGTGATGCTGTGCTGTAGCAAATGGAAAAGCTGTAAGTGGAACGAGCACAGTTTGGGGTAATCATGGGGCCCACGTCAGCGTACCGCGCCCCGCATCGTGCATGCGTCTCGCCATAATGGCTGCCGATTAGCGTAAGGTGAATTAATCGGTGTACATTACCATATGTGACATTACAGGTAATCGACACTTTGTAAGGGTGTCATATCGCAAAATCAACCGCTAGGCTATGTAAACGAACGCCGCTGAACGTTGTTGTATATATCCGGCCACATCTGCATTACTAAGGTAAGTATATTCGCTTTAGTCACTACATGAGACAAGCCCGTATTTGGGTCTTCAAGTTAGGTACATCAAGTACGCACACAAAAGGTGTGATAAGTGTCTCCACAAGCCGACGGTGGTAATGAGCACGGCCGGATGGCCACGCCGGGTAAACCTGCCAATGTCACCATGTCATTCTAAGGTGTTTCCCGCTTGACAGCGGCGATTGACATTGCTGCACAGCCTAGGCAGAATGGGCTCAATTGCAGCATGTGCGAATAGCCTCGTCATTTATGAGCCGATTGTCGTGGACATGACCCAACAGAGTCAAGCACCAGGGGAAAGATGGGCGGTCACACATGAAGTGACATTGTATGGCGTCGGCTGCAAGTTGAGGAAATGGGAAGCATGCGTTGGGCGAGCTGCCGAAGTGGGCCGTGGACGACCATGGCCGCACTGGTCGAGTCGTCAGGGATTGATGGCCATGATGGCACACCAGATCGATCGGGGTCAATCGTGAGATCTGATTGCAGGTGCCAGTTCACCCTTTGAGGCGGCCCGGGCTAGACACCATCCTGCGTTTTGCATGCACTGTCTATGCTAATGCTACTTCCGCACGTCCCTTGGCCTTACAAGAATAAAGCGTGACTCACTGATTCTTTGATTCAGAAGGAATAAGCAATTTCCAGGAGCCTGCCAGCAGAACAAACTCGAGCTACTATCCGCGTAAGTGCAGACTCTTATTTCCCCGTATCATGACGCTTACATCAATGTTTGATATTACATGCGTAACCTCGGACATTGTGGTTGCCGATCGCCGTCGCATGCCTCGGCGGTCATGAGACATGAGCCGGAGCCTTGATGCACAGCTTGTGATACGCAATCTGTCAACGTTCATTCTCAAATCTTGATACATTGTGGCCCAGCTAATCCATCCGTTTGGATCAATGCCCTATTTAGTTGGGTATACCTGCGTGTCGTAATCTTATTGAAACACATTCGCGTCGAAAACGGTATTCAGCGGGACGTGCTTGCTCAATGTGTGTCGATTTTTCTCCCCAATCCAGTCGGGCTAGGAGGATGTTCCGGACAGTGGGGCGACCCAAACGGCCGGTGTATATCTGAACTGACTTCCTAGTACGACTCATTGAAAATGTCGTCCAGATCCGCGCTCTGAGTTGTTCATGTGTATGTTGGGCCATTCGATGCCGTTGTATTAGCTAAACCTGGGACTTCAACGCATAGTAGAAGTGCATAGAAAGCACATTTGTCGGTGCGTAACCTATTCACATCTTTCAAGGCGATATTCTGAAATACTAAGTATCTCCGGATCATCATTCTGCAAGATTTGCCTGGTATGGCCTCGTCCGTGTCTAATCTAACGTTTTTAAACACAGGTCCATCACTGTTTGAGATTATGGTATGCCTTCACAATTTCCCCGTGGCTTTTCAGGAAGCCGCATGGACAATGATGAGCATGTGCTCATCCATCTGGCGGCCGTACCACTGACAGATCAACAAACAATGCTGACGAACCCGACTCTCTGGTAGCAGAGGACGCATGGACCACACCATGTTGCGGGACTCTAGGCCAACATTCGACAGTATATAAGGCGTGCTGGGGGACCAGCATCCCTCAAGTTCTTTCTCTCGACTCGTCTTACACCAAAGCACCAACTTCAATTCCCTATAATACATCTCCCCCGTCGCCACCATGTCTTTCAAGCTGACCACTTTCGTTCTCGCTGTCGCCCTGGCCTTTGTGCAGGTCAACGCAGAATCGCACACCGTCACGTTCAACAACAAGTGAGTATAATCATGCCTCGAATGGAGCTGTCGCTGACGAAAGTGTTACAGGTGTGGCTATGGCACGGTTGGTCATCGATAACTCCCTAGTGCCCTTACCATGTTAACGATGCTCACAGCCTTACCTGAGAGCGTCGAACGGCGCCGTCTTGTCCACGGGCGGTAGCTACACTTCAAACGGCGCTCTCGAAGGTGCCATCGCGTATGTGTTATGATTTGTTTCTGGTAACCACACTCACAATGTACCCTAATACACACACAGTTATCTCCAAACCGGTAAGCTGCCCTGTCACTACGCTATAGCCATCGCTGTGGCATGTTCGTACTGACCACGCATTCTGCGACTTACCAAAAATCCAGGCTCTTGCGGAAACAACGGCGAAGGGTGCACGCTCGTCGAGACGACGCTCCAGAACGGCTACAGCAGCTCGGACATCTCGCTCATCTCGCCGTAAGCTCACCTGCCCCATCCGGCTACGTGTCTCCTGACGTCTCGCTCTCCGACAGCCACTCGTTCTCCGTCAGCAGCGGTTTCGGCTACTTCGACGGCTGCTCTGGCGCCGGCGCCGACTGTAAGTCCCGCGCGGGATACTGGCATGGCATGGCTGACGAACGGTCCATTAGGCACGTCTGCGGACTGCTCTGATGCCTTCCACAGCTCCGACCAGACTTGGGTGCAGGTGGGGTGCTCTGCCGCCAACGTGAGTCGCGCTCTCATCTGCACTCCTGCGGAGCATGCGTACTAATCTGCATCTGGCAGGTTGGCCTCGCCATCACCTTCTGCGACTAGATGGTGTCAAGATGCCTCAGGAATAGCGTATTTCTTGGTAAAATGGACGCGGCGTTCCTTTTTCCTTACCATGTATGTCGGGGTATTTAATGGGACTCGCAAGGCTATTTATTATTTGGTAAAATTGTCTCAGAAATGACAGCACACGGGTCATGACTGCTTCGTCCAAGCATCTGATGTTACTTGTGAGAATGATGCCCACCTGATTTCCCCATTTTGCATCCATGCACATTGCTCGTTGGCATTCAGCATCAAGAATGAGCAGCCATTAACGAGTGGCTGTTGTCACTGCGGTGTAGCCGTTATCAATAATGGTCTCTTGGCGGTTCGTGTGGCGCCCTGGGGGGAACACAAATTGATATGTCACAGTCACCGCCCCTCCTGCAGCATTGTACAAGCGAGACAGATGTCAGCAAATGCGCGATTATGACATAGCCGCGACAAGTGCCGGCCGTGTGCGTGGGCACCAGGACGATGTTCTTGCCTACCTTGTAGATCATCTCGGGGGATGTGTGGGTATGTCATCTCCATTCGTACACACCAAGCGCAATGGCGCATACGCGAATTCTGTCGCAAACATCTTGATGAGGTGGTTCCCCGCAGACTGGGACATGTTGTATGCGCCCCGCAGGCGCCTACATCAGCGCATCTCGTGAAGCACAAGGTACAGGCAGGAAGCAAACCTGGCACTTGACGGTCTTATTGAAGCCGCCGATGCTGGCGATGTTGATGACGCTGGATAAGTGCGGCCATAGGTGACCGTGGAAAAAAGTACCCACAAACAACACTCCAACTGATTCGACCAGACTGAAGAGACAGGACACAGGAAACAAGCATTGCAAATGCCTCGAGAAGCACGCTACCTGAGAACGGTGCGTGTTTCCGGAATAATTCAGATCTGCAAGTGGTCTACTTGCGGAAAGGTCCGACTGAGCTGGCGAGATACCACAGCTTCCAACTTGAACACCTTATGAGTTCTATTCTCGACTACGTGTTCATTTAGAATTTCCCTTCATAAGTCAAAGTCAATGAATATTGTCTTTAGCAACCATGGAGGACGACTCGGAGTATACGTGCGGCTAAATTGTTTGGCGCTTGGTTAGGTTACGCCGCAGACGCCGCTCTACAGCCGGATCGAAACACGTGCCTGGACACACTTGCTTAAGTTCAGGTACACCGCGACTACCAACTTAGTTAGGGTGTAGCGTACGTGAAGTCGTGCCACTTCAAGCAGTTGGGCTACGAAACGGCTGAGCTGCTGATTGAGTCACTCTCACACTAACGTGGAGCTAGGACTTGGCACAAGTCCGCCCGTGCTAAAGAAGAATGCCTCGGAGGGCACGCATACACTTTGTTTCCCTTCACTCATCTCTAGTAAATCTCCCTATTTCCCTGTATGGCCCATTGCTTGAGCGTGGTGTAGTATGTCTGATGCACAATCGTACACATACCGGAACAAGCTGCTAACGACTGTATGTCAGCGTCCACAGGGACTTGCTGTTCACTTGACTCTTGTTTCTGCTCAGAAGCAAGCAGGTCGCGTGGGCACCGAAAAAATCGATGCATATGTCGGCTGGACTGGGATGGCGTCAGCCTCGTCACTTGCGCATTTTAACTCAACGGACGCAAGTGACCGAGGACTTGAAACAATCGAAATTGATCCTCAATACGCCGAGGCACTTGGCTTCGCTCTTGGTGATGTGGTATGTTGTTTGTGTTATTGTCTTTATGCCTCTTTTTGATCGTGGATTGAAGGTAGAGATTGGCCTACTTCATGATCTCGGCTATGCACAATCAGTTGCCGCGGAACCTGTCACCCCCGATGACTGGGAAATCATTGTAAGCCTCCTTCGGACCTAAGCTGCCCCTAAATTAATGCTGGTACAGGAAATTCATGCATCACACGTAGAGTCTACTCTATTATCTCAGGTCAGAGTGGCTATGACAGGGCAGGAAATCAACGTATGGGTGTTAGGACGCACCAGGGTCCGTCTCAAAATTGGTCAGTACGTTGCGTTCCTCTGGCACATGTTCACCGGTCTGAATCCGTGCTCGTCTATGCGACTTGTAGCATCCCTTGAGCCTTCGTCAGGAGAAAAGGCTCTCCTTCTCACAACCAACACCGAAGTGAGTATCGCGCCGAAACCACACGTCAAATCCAAATCCTCCGTATCGCGCAATCCCCGCGATGAAGCCAAGGGCCGGAACAAGCTGACAAAACTGAATGGGATAAACGGTCATAGTACTGATACGAGCATAAGCAGTAAGGACGCGTCCGCTCGAAAAGAGGGACCAAGCAAGAAGCGAGTGCACTTTATGCGCGTTCTTCCACGCCGTTTCTTCTCTCCGCCGGGCTCTCTTACAGACGCTTCAAACTCCGATAGACCGATTGTCTACGTTTCACGCGCAATACTGATGTCGCTCTCGCAAGACACTGGGATGCCTACCTCTGTCTTCAGCTGGTGTGCATCCGTCCGCAAGCTGAAACCTCCGGCCGACCCTTGTCGCGAGCAATCGTCCACTGCGCCAGCTGTACCGCCCGCGCCTCGCATCTTGATCCCTAATGGTTCCAGCGGACCGGCGCCCAGCGATCAACCTTCCGCTGCCTCATCCCAAGATGAAGTTGTACTCAAGTGGTCCCCGGAATTCTCAGTGCCTTACGGGCACGTTATCTTTGCCCGAGGTGTTCCGGATATAAACGACTGGGACTTGATTCAGTGATTCCCCGTCGCCTACATACAGTATATTCTTCGTTAACTCGTGATTCGCAGGATCACCTTTATTAGGGAGCATGAACGCCTCCCAGACAAGTATCCTGCTGAAATGTCGAGCGAGAATGGGTATGTTTCTGAGAGATTCTCGCAATTGTGCACTGATTTCGAAGCCGGAGTAGCCATGTTGTAAAGCTCCAGCACGGGCTGGCTGGCATCGATGACGTTCTTAGCAAATGCGTCACATTCTGTCTGACAAATCTCGCGCTGCATGCGTTCAGCGGGAGAATCCGGGGAGGTATGTATGCAGTCCGGGAAGTTTATACCGAGATGGCGCTGACATCGACACATGTAGTTCCCGGATTGCTCGTGACTGGTCGGTCTGGAGCGGGAAAGACGTCTCTATTGCAGACTGTTGCTAAATTAATACAAGAAGACCCTAAAGTCTATGCACGTAAGCGATCGTTTTTCCTGACCTCGCGCGTCCGTACTCATGAAAATATGTCAGATTCGCTTTATATCGATCTGTCCAAATGCTCTGAAATGCCTGTCTCCAAATTCCGATCGATGCTCAGGTACTGGATGGACAAGGCAGCATGGCACCGTCCGTCTTTGCTGTTAATGGACAACGTCGACAGGCTCCTGGGCGCTGAAGCCGAGGTAGGCGCTAACTCCATATGTTCGCGGAATCGATATTGAGCGTGCGTGCGCACAGCATGCGGATTCGTTTCGTAATCGACATCTTGCAGAGTTATTTCTTGCGATGTTTGGCCCGTCCTCCAAGTCTGCTGCGTCAAATGCGAATGGTGTAGTCTTGCTGGTAGCCGCAGAGTCACAAGCAGCCTTGCATCCGACTATCAGCGCTTCTCATTTATTTCAGGAAGTTGTGTCCCTAAAACCCCCTGGAAAGGATGCACGCAGAGACGTACGTTTATAGAGGTGTGGCTCTTGTAACAATGCGCTCATACTCAGGCATTTAGATTATTGCGCAACTAGTCCAGGAGCGCATTGATTCATCCAACATTGTACAGGACACCTCTATACCCTTGAACTATACCGCTCTGGCGACACAGACGGAGGGATATTCGGCCACGGACCTAAGAGATCTAGTAGCAAGAGCGGTGCATCGAGCCGCGATCAGATCCTCCCCAAATGAGAGCGACGATCTATCAGTACGTGGAAGCTGCAGTCGGTAGGTATTAGATGCTGATATCTCTATGACACCAGACCACGCTCGTACCAGATGACTTCACTTCAGCACAAATCGATTTCGTCCCACACTCCTTACGCGATGTCAAGCTGCAGAAGTCGGACATCGAGTGGACAGACATCGGAGGTATGCTTCTCGGTTCGCGGGCGATATCGATTTGACACTTTCCTCGATGCTCAGGCCTGAAAGAGACCAAACATGTGCTGCGTGAAACGTTGGAATGGCCTACGAAATACGGTCCGATCTTCGCTCAGTCTCCTCTTAGGCTACGTTCGGGGTGAGGCTGTCTCTACTATCTTCCTGCTCGATAGGGGCTGATATCCCACAGGCTCTTGTTGTATGGCTACCCAGGATGCGGCAAGACGCTCTTAGCATCAGCGGTTGCGAGGGAGTGTGGTCTGAACTTCATCAGCATCAAGGGTCCCGAACTCCTCAACAAATACATTGGCGCGAGCGAAAAATCGGTATGTGTGACTGTCTCACATGCGCAGGTGATCTGTGAACTTTGCGCCTCAGGTTCGTGACCTGTTTGAGCGGGCAAGCGCAGCGAAGCCATGCGTTCTCTTCTTCGACGAGTTTGACTCCATCGCGCCCAAACGGTGAGGAATCCGACGGTTGGAGCATCATGGGGAACACAGCTCATGGAGGCATTGCAGAGGCCACGACAGTACCGGCGTCACTGACCGCGTCGTGAATCAAATGCTGACCCAGATGGATGGTGCCGAAGGCCTCGATGGTGTCTACGTGCTGGCTGCTACAAGGTATGGAATACGCAGCCCCATTCCATCCCACCTAACGAAACACTGCCAAAGTCGACCGGATCTGATAGATTCGGCGCTTCTCCGACCCGGACGCCTGGATAAATCGCTCTTGTGTGATATGCCGAATGTCGAAGAGCGCAGAGAGGCGAGTCAAACCAAGTCTGGTGCTGGGCTACGCATGTACGACGTGATTGACCCTCCCCGGTGCAGATCCTGGAATGTCTTGGCCGAAAGATCAACATCGCGGCATCCGTGGATCTAGACGAACTTGCCCGCCAAACAGTGGGGTTCTCAGGGGCCGATCTCCAGGCCCTTGTGTACAACGCCCACCTGGAAGTCATCCACGATACCATCGCGCTGGCCACGTCCGCTGCCACCAGCAATAAAGCGGAAGACGCTGAAGGTGGCGACCCTAGTCCATTTGAGTATGCCGTCTTGGGGCAATCAGAAACGGACCAGAAGAGGGTGCTTTCGAGGGCGGAGGAATCGGCGTTTCAGCGGCGGGTGGGTTTCGTGTCCGAGTACAAGGAATTTGCGACATGCTGAGCCCCCCACAGCTGCACAGAATACTGACGAAGCCGTTGAAGGCTGCAGAGAGCCGCCAGCTTGCAGATGATACAAACAGACCGGTACGCGATGCGCGTGTCCTACACCAGCGAGAAATACTTGATGACCTCACAGAAACGAGAAATCACCGAAGAGCATTTCCTGAAAGTATTCCAGTCGACTCGGCCTTCGGTCCCTCCGGAAGAACGGGAGCGCCTTCGCAGAATGTGAGTTATTTTCCCTCGCTTGAGCTATGTTCATACACTCAGCGCATCATATCACTACAGTTACCACGCATTTGTGTCTGACAGAAGCGGAGAACTACCAGTGCCTCCGGAAGGCACAGATGTGGGAAGCAGGGTGTCTCTGATGTAGACGCTTGGGTGCTCTTGTTTCGGCAATGTTTGTGGCCGGTTCTTCCATCTTGTATAAATGTGGCTGAGCGCAGATATTCACATGCGCCCAACGTGTCGCATTTGACGAGAGAAGCGACTCTGTGAGCTTTTGTGTAGCTTGGCACACAGTACTAGCTTATGCCAATTCGCGCGAAGTCGTGCACGTCTCAAATGGGATCGATACTGTCGTTTAGTAAAGGGATATACATGGCTAGGTAATGTTTGTCCAAACATAGTCCAGAATTAACGGATTACAAGGCACGTAGCGTATCAGGCGCAGAGTATACTGGCTATACATACGGAATAAGCTGGACACGCACAGGGTAACACGTCTCGTAAACGTAGCTGCTGCCGTTCGAAGCCGGTGCGTAGACAAGATTGAACTGACTTCCGGTCACCCAGTCGGTCGTGGCTGCACACAGGGAGAAATTACCCGCGCTACCATTCACAGCCAAGACATCGTATTCCGACGATGTCTCGTTCTAGCACATAGTCAGCGGTGCACTGACCAACGCGGTGCACCAAGACGTACCACGGCGCAAAAGATCTGCTGGGTGCTCGGATCCTCCTCTTTTGTGGTCACGAACCAGATGACCTCTTCGCCCGCGGTGGGGGCAAACAAGTTGTAAGCCCCTAGGCCATCCTCGGAAGGCCCCGGCTGCGGCAGCAGGGCGCCTTGCTCCAGGACATTGTAAGGCCATTCGTCTGAACCCCAGGATGCATACGTCTAGCCCTGTGGCATCAGGCACTAGTCATTTGAGCTGATGGATGTTAGCTCACTGAGAAGACCCACGCGCTGGCGGCTGCGCTATCGCCAGGTGGGCCCCAAGCAAGGACCAGGGGCGCACCGGTACTATTTGCGTTACTTCCCGTGGAGTTGTACGCTGCAAGCGTGAAGTTATAGGACGGAGAATCCGTCGAATTTTCTCCAAATCCAGCGCAGGGCGACCCATCCTGCCGCGGGGGCAGACGCGGATTGGGCATAGCCAATGCGAACGCTGCAAGCGGAAGAGCAAGAGCAAGAGCAAACATGTTGGCGACGAGGGAGCAGTCTCAAGGAAAACGAAGACGATGTTCGCTACAGCTGCGCGAGGTGCAGAACCCTCCTATATACACCGCGAAAGACCTGGGCACATGCAATGACTCTTCTCGGCGCGGCCCAGTTGTCCATCCGTGGCTGCAACGGGTTCCACGACATAGGCTCGGCCGGGGAGAGCGCCTTACCATTCCCCTAGGTCGGTCTGCGGCGAGCATAGAGGGGTAGCGGGTTCCACATAACGCCCACTGCCGTTGACCACATTCGGACATCCGAAAGGTCACCCGGCTACACCTCACTGCAGGCCGGCTGTGTCGTGGCACATTACTAGTGTGCTCCCACTGCTGAGCCTGTCAGGGCCGACGTGCTGACGGATCTGTGGCGCGGAGCCGCACCCAAGGTAGCATAAACAAGGCCCAATGCAGCTCCGGGTCGGAAGCATGATGTAGCGCGCGCAGGTTCCGACCCCTCGGCGCCCCCCGGTGCTTTCGTCATCGTTGAACGTTTTGAACTGCATCCGCCACCGCAGACGTCCCAAATAAGTGGAAACGCTGTCAGACGTGACGTCTGCATCGGTGGCGATTGTCTTGGCTATGATCTAAGCAGGAGATTGAGTTCCGGACCAAGGCTCAAGAACAACTCGCTCGAGACTCGGGTGGTACAGACATTCGCCAGTCTCACGCAGGCAAGACGGGTCCGGTCAAGATCGAAATCTGGTCGGATCGAGACGTCCGGAGCTGAAACGCAAATGACGCGCTGCACCCCGGCGCACGGGTTCTGTACCTGAGGACAGGGGTGTCTGACAGCAGAGAATCCATAGGCTTGCTGCTGAGATCAAACAGATAGAGCTTCACCGGGCACCAACGTGAGAACTCGCGCAGTCAATCAGTAATAGAGTTGTGCATCATTGCTGTGGCTGTAACTCGCTCGGGCCTGCAAGACGCCAGCACGAATCAAATCAAAGTGGACGTAGAGCATGATATAACTCTCATGGTCGATATACCTCCCTGCCACAAGAACTGACCAACAGCCCGTTAATGTCTCCAGAATACGTCGATGGATCTGCGAGGCAAAGGAGCCTAGAAGACGACGAGCGTTCCACGATCACCTCGACACCGGAAGGTCATGGACGGCAGATCCAGCGCCGCTGCCGTGCTATACCATAGCTTCTGCTCTACCTCAGCCGCTCAAGTGTAACATGTGAAGGGAGGTGTCTCGAAACTGAAATTGCTGTAACAGAACGAAGACATACTTTCAGAATCACACGTCCTCGGAGCCTGCAGCACTTCTGTGACCTCCAGGAGTGCGCAATTACATATTGCAGACGAACACCTCTGAATATGACTGATTATGTCGTGGTTAGAGCCACCAGGTGCTCAATCGCTGCTGGTACCGGCTGAACCGATGTTGAAGCGAGCGGGATGACGCAGAGGGAACAACGAGAGAGAGGTTGAAGGTTTCCATGTCGAACGAAGCGGATCAAAGAGAGGAGGAGCGGAGACTGATCGACGGAAAGAGCATCGGGTTGTGCTGCCTGTGCAGCAGGACTCGGAACCCAGCGCTATTTACACAGCCCAGCAGAGCACGCAATGCACACTCGGTGAAGAGGAATTCCCACAATACGGTGCAGTGCCAAGTGAAGCGACGACTTCTGCCCACACGAGAGCCGTCACACAACGAATGGCCGCTGCTTACGGCATTATTGTTAAAATCACAACACAGTACCGCACATCCGCAGTCAACATTCGATGTCACACGCAGTGGTGATACCAGTCTACGCGCAGTCCCCGAAAATTGGAGACGCCGCACGCGATCTCCGTTTATTCTGGGCGTCGGTGATGGCCTACCACCGATTTCGATTATAAAGTCGAACCGCAATTTATCCAGGTGGTACAGACCAGAAAGAGAGGAGTCCGAAGGACACCACCGTCAAAGCAAGCTGTCGGATTCAGAGTCGCGTCTTTTTACGCGATCACGTGCTCGCGTAAGCCGACCACGCGAAGCAATGTGAACCACACTGTGAAGGGAAAGCTCAAGCAGTAATTGGTGCACGACGAGAACACACAGAATGCCTACACTGTATAGATGTTGTCAGCGTCCATTAAACATAATGTACCAGTACTATCTACGTATATTCTAATCTCGAACGGCCTGCGCAGCTCACCACCACCGTATCTCCGTCCACACAAGCGGCAAGAACACGATACACGCGGTCCAGAACTAGACAGGTGTCAGTCCGTGGAATGGAACGCGTCGAGACGACAGCGCTACTCACCACCTGGGCGCACTTGAACACGAGGAAGGGGTACTCATCAAGCCTGGGCTTGACATCGACAGCCTTCTCGCCAATGGTCACCCGCCGTGGGTGTGTGAACATTACCCAGATGGCGTACAGAGCGACAGCGAAGAAATGCCGTGCGAGGAGCATGGTGGATTGTTCGATGCTGATTGTCACAAGCCGTCAGCATGCTGCAGAGGAGAGCATGCCGACGACTTACCCGGCTAGCAGGCATACGGGACCACGAATGCAGTTCCCGCCCAGTTCAAAGTACTTGAAGCAGCCCGTGCGAAGCACCTCAAGCAACTCATCTACAGGGGGGTCAGCCAGGTATCTCACATAAGCAAAGGCACCGACAAACCATCTGCACCGAACAGATCGTACAACGCGACGCTGAGGATGTTGATAGTAGATGCGAAGCGCTTGCGCCTCCAGTGCCATCGGTGCAGCACGCGGGACACTTGCCGCCAGTCCGAGAAGTCGTTCACGCCACCAAATAGCTCCTTCAGCATAACAACGTCGTTGAAGGCGACGGTCATCCCACCGCCCGTCAGTGGATGGCGCATGTTCCAAGAATCGCCGAGCAGGAACACGCCCTCCTTCGTGTGCCCCGCACCTTGCTCAGCGGGCGGGAGGAAGGAATTGGGCATACGCCGCAGTCGGTCCTTGGCTAGCGCCTTTTCGACCGGGACGTGCAAAGCGGATGGAAGCTGGGGTGCAATTTCGTCGAGAATTGTACCCTGTGCGACGACCTAAGACACGTCTGAATACAAGGTGACAATGGACATACCTTGATGTCAGATGGTAGGGGGTTCTTGAGGTCGACGAGCATCCGAGTATCGTGCTCACCGATTTGGTACAGCAACACCGGTCCGTGCCCCTTCACAAGGACAACGGTCCCATGCTGCTCCATCGGTAACTGCGCGTCCTCCAGCACGACACCGACGAAGTGACCCTTCACGTCTGGCTTCACTCCCGCCCCGCCCAGCACTGCCGTCCGGAAGTTGGAGAAACACCCATCAGCGATGACAGTCAAGTCCGCGAAGAACGTCTCCTTTTCGACCGGCTCGCTCGAACCTTCCTTCTTGCGTGTCGCCCGTACGCCCAAGACACGACTGGTCACCGGACATTCGATCAGCTCCGACACCGTCGCCTCGACGACGTCTACGCCCTCTGCTTGCTTGGCCTTTGCGCGCAAGTTCTGAATGAAACGGCCATGGTGGAAGCTACGCCCCTGGTACGAGTCGGGATATGGAATGTGCACGGGCTGGCCGTCAAGGACGACACAGTAGCCCCTAGCCGGAATGGCGTCGATGTTCTCTAGACAAGCCTCCATCCCGAGCTTCTGCAGCGCCATGACGCCCCCGGGCTGAAGCAGCTCGCCGACGATGCGGTCCGGTTCAGCGAGAGAGCGCTCTAGGAGGCATATCCGGAGTGGCTTGGATCGCGGGAGCGTCGAGAGAGCGTGCGCGAGGGCAGTCCCTGCGATGCCAGCGCCAACGATGAGTACGTCGTAGTTTGTAGTCCACATTCCGGGTTGGGAGTCCATCGTCACCAAGCTAGCAGGCCTTTTGAACGTCGTCGTACTGCAGTCGAGAGCTGGCCAGGACAGTTGTCCACGCCAGGCTGGACTCTAGCTGGAGCGCGGTAACAGCGCATTTTCGTGGTCGACCCACTTTCATGAATGGCTTGTGATATTTCTCGGTCCAAATATGGGAATTTCTCACGACGCAGATAGATGCCTGCATGATCTGTCAAACTCGAGCAGAGTCGAGACCTTCACTTGGAAAACAAGCGACATTTGAACGGCCAAAAGCAGCGAGCAGAATCTGAGCTCCCCTCCTCGAACAGCAACAAATAAGCGACTGCTCGTCGCAAGCGCTCGCAGTTTCTGGCTTACGCTTGCATGATTCGCCAACCTGATTGGCTGGTCCGAAACCGTGATCAAATGACGGCTGCATCACGCTTAGTCATCTGTGACGCCACATTGGGGCGCTCAAAAACGGCGAAAGGTCGCTTGTGTAACGGCGCGCTACCGCTCTTTGCTTGACCGGTAGCCGCTGCTATTACTTTATCCCGTTTGCTCGCTCATACGCTCGCCTTCATGTCGTGCTTCTAAAATTGCTAGCGCTCGTTAAAACTTCTCTACACTGCAGTATTTAAGGACGATAATCTTGTACTTCTCGGTAGCGTACATTCTACGAGAAAACAGCCTTATAACCTGTCTATCGTCGTGCGTTCTGTGTGACACCACTGTCTTGCTCAAACAAGCCGCGAGCGTCACAGCTTGTTTCCCAGAGAAATTTAAGTGGCAAATTCGAATGTACCTACTTACCTGGTGCTTGAGTAGCTTTGGCTGCCAATTGGTTCGAGCTATGAGAGGAGGTGATGGGGCTTTGTGCGAGAGAGGGAGGATGCAATTCTCGACATCGACGTCGGCTTATAAGAGTAGAAGCCCTGACAGGAGTGAATGGCGCACACAACAACAAGTGATTGGAACCAAGAATGTACTACATGTGAATATCAAAGTGAGAGGTCGGCGCACATTGCAAGGGTTTGAAGTCTCAGCATACTGTATAGTTTCATGCATGCAAATCAACCACACTGTAACAGCCGACTGGCATAGCGCTTGTAAGGGGCGATCAGAATATTTCGACATCCTTTTGATTCTCGACATTACTATGGGTGGACCCTATTTATAAGACTTTTCGGTATTTTGCGCATTCCTCAACATCGCCCAACCTGAACCTCATCGGTATAGACAGTTCCGTGCAGATTTCCTCCTTATACTTGCACGTCTGCCTGGCTCTTTGATGTAGGTCGCTGCCATGTCCTCGGGTGTGTTCCAATGCAAAAGTACCAAATTGCCCCAAGTCGATCATTGCAATTGATCATGATCGTACACGGGGAGCTCACGCTACTCGCCCCCGGCGGACTTTTTGACGCTCCACCCTGGGTGAATAGCCGATGAGTCTGGGTGGAAATGAGAGGGGCAGACCTCAGTCTATCAGTGCGCAACTCCGCCCCAGCACTAAATTGACATGAGCCCACGCACAAATCTTCATCAAAGCACGTGCTGCCTTCAAATGGCATATTCCATTATAATTTCTTAGCTTATCATTGCTGTTTGTGTACACTGAAAATTCTTTCATTTACCCTTATCATTGCTGTTTATGTATGCATATCAAAACATCCATTGAATGCCCCCCCAGCCACTCAGCAATACATGGATTAGTGGTAGTATATTGGGATGCACTCATGAGCGTGGGCACCATGCGCAGGAACACAGCCATGTGCGTGTAATCCGTGGCCGACATGGGGAATAGTGTCACCCTGAGCATGAATGTGCAGCTGTGCACGGTGTAGATCAGCATGTCTGTGGGTGGGCATGCGGGTCAGCTGGGCCAGGGAGGGACGACAGGATGTGGACACATGCTAGTAGACAATGTCCTCACGGCCATGCACCTAGGGGACGGGCTGCAGGAGTATGCGGATGCCTGCTGGTAGATGACATTCTGGCAACTGTGCGCCTCAGGGACGGGCTGCTGGATAGGATGACTTTGCTGCCGTGTGTTTTGAGCACGCGTGCAGTGAACTCCTGTGAGTCACGGCATGAGATGGCATCGACTGCTGTGGTGACAGTGTCGCCTGGTGGCGGCCTTGAGCATGGTGACAGCCTTGGGGCTGGTGTGGTGGTCAACAAAGATGTCTGCGGCGAGCACACACATGAGGGCATGGTTGTGTGGGAACGTGCTCGTCGCCAATTTGTACCTGTGAAATGCAGCAGTGATGGCACTCACCTGAAGCCCCAGTATGGCTCCCACGATTCACCCCCAACAGCCATTCCAAGAATGCTTGCTTGCCGCATGCCTGTTATAAAAGTTAGTATGAACATTTTTTACATGAAACAGGCTCTCGCTAGAACAGGAGCGAGGTACTGGAACAAGACCCCCAGGCGACAATTGCCGCAAACAGGACATGAACATGTGGGAATGAGAAATGTCGACGTGGTGCTGGCCGCAGATCTCCCTATTTGGACTTGTTTGACCTGCTTTGTGCTGGGACGCTAAGTGCATTCATGTGGATCACATGACCATGCAAAACTCAGCCTGGGGCAGACTCTCAGGCGGGTTCAACCGGGGCGGACTCTCGGGCAGAGCAAGGCTCATCAATTTCACTTTGTGCTCAGGTCTGCCCCAGGTGGAGTATAGCACAAATTTATTTTAGGTTCTGGCGGACTGCAGAGGGGCGGACCTCAGTCTATCTGAACATCTGGCTGTGTACATAGCACATACTTAGCAGTCTGCTGAATGGCAGCAAACACAATTTACCCAAGACAAAAACACCAGGCGCCCACATGTGACTTCAACACCATCTTTTCTTTTACATATACACTGAAACCTAACCTAACCTAATGCCAGCCTAACTTAACCTAACTTAACCAAACCTAACCAAACCTAACCAAACCTAACCTAATCCTAACTGAACCTAACTGTAACCTAACTGTGACCTAACCATAACTCAATATTAAATGTGTGAAAAACAACTTTGAAGTTGAGGAGTATTGAAAATAAAAAGGATTCAAGGGTATTCAAACCTCCATTTGCTGAACAGAAGGAGCAGCATTACCACTAAGCCAACAGGGAACTGTTCTAAAGGAATATAGGATTATTATATGGTCCACATGCTCAATTTGAAAGATCATCAGATTAGATCGGTGCTTTTGTGCTGGGTAAATTGTGTTTGCTGCCGAATGGCCGCGCACACCACTTCACTTGCCGCACACAGTCATCCTATACAGATGTATGCAAACGTCCTCAGTGACCGGCTGGAAGTATTCTATGGTGGTTGGCCGCTCCCATCAATGTTGTGTCTGCTAGAGAATGAATGTATAAAATGCATGAAATCCCCAGCCAGCCTGAGCTAGACTAGACCAAGCATTCCTGTCTGACAACCTCGATTGAGTGCTGCAGTGATGAGGCTGCTCCTCACTGGTGCCACTGGCATTGGTGAGTGCTCTCGCAGCCTGCGCGCCGTCCAGGTAGCAGCTGACATCCGTGCACACAGCGGGTCTCGCTATATATCGCACAGCCCTCGCTGATCCCTTTGTTCGCCACATCACTCTCTTGAGCAGACATCCATTACCTTCATGGGCTGTTCTTCCGGAAGATGCACCCTCTCGCACAACCATGATCATGCACAACAACTTCCTGAAGTATCCTCCAGATGTCGCCCGCCAGCTTGCAGCACATGATGCATGC